GTAAAGAAAGAAGGATACAGAAAGAAGCTAACTTGCTATCAGCAGAGCTCAGAAGAGTCTAGTACTGAATTAATTTAACAAATGTTTATGGGAAACCTCCTACAGGTGACTACAGATGGGACCCACCACCTTGGTTTTAAAAGGGTGAAAAAATTTGTGATTTCTCAAGGAAATCACAAATATTGTTGAGTACAAAATGCCATGAAGATTCCAGCAGGGAAAGATGATATCTGGTTGTAGGGAAACAGATAGGCTTCATAAAGGAGATAGAGATGAGTTTTTAGAAGAAGTGGTGTACAGCAGTGGGAAGATGGGTTTCTAAGTGGCAAGGACAGCCGGGTAAGGTTCTGGTGTCAAGAGGGAGACCCTCCACCTCTTTCCCTTATCTTTACCTCAGTGTGAGATTGCAGTTTGGGACATTAAGCCACCCTACATCATTGTTACTCCACCATTCCTTTCTGCAGAGATGCCTGTGTCTCCCTCTACCATTCCTTCATTTAAAAAAAAATGATTATTATAGCTGAGTGCCAGTGGTTCATGCCTGTAATCCTTGCTACTCAGGAGATAGAGATGAGGAGGATCACAGTTCAAAGCCAGCCTCGGCAAATAGTTCACAAGACTCTGTCTTGAAAAAACCCATCACAAAAAATTGCTGGCGGAGAGGCAAAAAAAAAAAAAAGGAAAGAAAAATTATTATAACATGAAAAAAATATATAAGTGCACAAAAAATAACACCAAATGTCACCACTTTGTTTCCTCTGGCTCAATAAATCTACCATCCAGAAATAAGTTATCACAACTTGATACCTAGGTTTAATTTTTTTAGTGCTACATATATATTTTTAGAATAGTATGTAAATTGGTAGATTAAAGTGGGACAAAACGTATTTTTGTGTAATTTGTTTCTTTAATAGCTTGATATGTTTTCAGGGTGGTATAAAAGGGAAAGTTAACAAAGATACTGCTTCCTTGAGATACCTTCTTTGAGGGTAATGTTGACTTTCCTGGACAGTCTCACATCCCCTCTGCATGAATCAGCAGGGTTATAACTGAGAAAATTCTTATTTATTAAAGTTTTTTGAAGACTATACCTGGTCTGTCTAAATCCACACTGTCAAATGCAGTAGCTACTAAACACAGCTGTCTCCTTAAATTTAAATTATTTAAAAGTAAATTAAAAATTCAGTTCCTCAAGTTGCAATAGCCACACTTCAAGTGCTCTAAAACCACATGGTAGCTACTAACTACTGTATTGGACATTGAAGATTTGAGACACTTCCATCCTTGCAGCAAGTTCTGTGGGACAGAGTTCACAGAAAATAAGCCTGCAGTTTTTATTTCACTTGGCTGAACAACAGAAGTCACAGGTCTCATGGGAGACTAACAGAGATTAAAAATGCAGGCCACCTAAATCGGAAAGTTCCCTCTGTGCCACTGTAGCCCACACATGGCTGGCAGTTGTTACTCTGAGCCCAGAATTCTCCAGGTATCTGAAATGAAGCACCAGATAGCTGACAGGCTCACAACCTCCCAGAGACTGCAGTTGGTGGCTATTTCTTTCTTGTATCCTTCCCTGATGACCCCATGATTAGCAAAATTTGGGGAACTTTATTGACGTGTTTGTGTCATAGGTCATAAGTCATAGTATTGGGCTATATCTCAGGCTAAGATCTATGATTCTGGAAGAGTATTCAGTCAAATGTAACTGAATTGCATGAATGTACCAAAATGTTTTAACCATAAATCTACCAAGAGGCATTTAGGTTGCTTCAAGTGTTTTGCTTTCATAAGTACAACTGCAAAGAATGCCACATACAGAATCTTTTACACATTCAGGCTACCAGTCTATAACACAGAGGGTGAGGAGGTTATGAACATTTGTAATTTTAATAGATACTGCAAATTACCTTTCGAAACAGTTATACCAATGTACTCTCCCTCTAATAGTATAGTCAAAGGCCCTTTTATCCACACTGGATATTATACGTCTTATTAATTTTTTCAATTTGATGGTTTTTACTTGCTTTTTCTTCATCGTTAGTGAAGCCAAGGACCTATTTACATGTTAATTGGATATTTGAAGATCCATAAATTGTCTTTTCATGGCTTTTTTATATGCTTTGCCATGTTACTTATTGGTGTTTATAGGTTAGTTTATCTTTTGTTGATTAATTTGTAGGAAATACTGGGCTGCTAGTATTACTTTTCATTTTATGTGCATCTAATACTGTCTTCCTCAAACTGCTCCCTACCTGCCCAATTCCCCTCACCACTTCTTCATTTTAACTCTCATAAGTTAAGAAGTTTTAAACTTTGGCCATTCATAAGTTTTCATGTAATCAAATTTGTCAGTTTTCTCCATTAAGCCTTCTAGGTTTTAGACATTTTTTTTATTGTTGCACTGCATGGGGGTACATTGTGGCATTTACAAGAGTTATTAGAATGTATCAAACATAAGAAGCTGTTTCCCCACTCTAAGATTATAAACATACCTTTCTGTATTTTCTTTTAAATCTTCTACATGTTCTTTTTTAATCTTTCAAACTCTCATTTCTATGGATTTATTTTTGTAAATGGTAAGAGATAAGCCCCAACTTCATTTTCTTACAAATAGTTCATTGTCTCAGTACCAGTTATTAGAAAAATCACTTTTTTTCTCCACTGATCTGACCACATTTATCATTTATTAATTTTACAAATAATTCAGTCTATTGCTAGGCTCTTATGTAGGAATTTAGCTATGCTCTTCTTTCTTCTACATTGCAAAAATTACATGGACTTGAGGAAATTGAGGGTTCCAGATCTAATAAAATGCCCTTATCTTCATCAGTAAAGGCCAGAGTCTGTGACAAGGCAAACATGCACTCGGGGCTTTGATATACCCTCCTCAGTGGGGGCACTGTGTATGCATACATCAGGACACTAAGTACATATTTGCTGAATGTGCTAATGAACAACAGTGAGTTCAGTTTACTTAGACAAAACATGTAATTTAGAAGTCATAATCTTCGAGATCAACTTTCATGTTATTAACAGAGTAAATCCTAAAAAGAACAAGCGGTCATGTATATTACTGAAGGAATACAACTTTATTAAAGCTACAAGAATAGCTTATACTCCCCTCCAAAAAATAACGTTCCTATGCATTTGATGGGGTTGCTAGAGTGCTGGCAACTCCCTCCTCCAGTCTCAAGACAGCTGTTACACACCTTTCATGCTTTCCTCAAATCTCCCACAAGAGAAAACCCTAAAATGTTCCCACCACACTACCATACACCTTGCCTCCTCTCCAATTAGAATAAATGCTCTTGGTTCGGCAAAAACCCTTCCAGCTTACTCAAAACCTTTTTATAACCTGTCTTTCCTATTCCATGCCATTCTTCTCTTCTAGATCATTCTCATGAGTAAATGCACTGAAAATATCTTCATTTAAAAACGAAACAAAGGGCTGGAGGTGTGGCTCAAGCAGTAGAGTGCTTGCCTACCAAGAGTGAAACCCTAAATTCAAAACCAGGTACTACCACCAAAAAACAAAAAAATCTTAAAAACAGCCCCGCTTCAAAAAAAAGAACCAAAACCTTCTCATTAGCCCATATCTCTCTACAACAACTACTACATTTATTCTTCCCAAATTTATTCTTCCATTCTTCCCAATTTATTCTTCTGTTTTTCTACAATAAAATTCCTTGGAAAAGTGCCTGTACTGGCTGTGGTGTTTCATAGAGTGAACCTAATCCAATCAAGTTTTATTTTCCACCACTTCTCTGAATTTGTTATGATTGTGGTCACCACAAACCTCCATGTTGCCAAAAACACAGAGCTCTTAGTATTCAACCCCTAGCAGCAACTTCTGGCACAGCTCATTACTCTGTCCTTAAAATAATGTCTTAAGTTGGCGTCAAAGACACTAGTTCTCATGTACTTTTCTCACTGACTGTTCCTTCTCAGTATCCTTTGAGGAATCCTTCCCATAACTCTGATTTCTACACATAGGAGTGACTCAGGGCTCAGTCCTTGAAATTCCTGCCCTCTCTAACCAAACTCTCTGGGTAACCTAATGTAGTCCTGTGGCTTTTGATATTTTAGTGGTTCCTAATTTTTTTTATCTCCATACCCAACCTCAGCCTTGATTTCAAAATTTCTATGTCCAACATCTTCTCTTAGATGTCTAATGAATATATCAACATAACCATGTCCAAAATAAAACAAAACAAAAAAACCTTCTAGCTAGTCTCTACTTCTATTGTGCCACATTCTTACTCCCTTACTTTCATTCTCCTCAAATAGCTCTCATCATCCTTTAAAATCATAAACCATACTATGTAACTCTTCTACTCAAAAATTTCCAATGGCTTCCCATGAGTTAGAATAAAACCTGGTCTTTTCATAGCTTATAAAATTGTGATCCAAATCCTGCCTACCTATCCAACAAATGACGCTTACTACCACATTACTCACTCTTTTCCTAGAAACATCCAATCATCTTATAAACAAATACACACTATCTTGCTACGTTTCATGTTTACCCCAACCTAATTTCTACTTTCAGGATCTTTGTTTTTGTTCTTCCCTCTGCCTTGTACATTGTTATCTGCTGACATCTGCAAAGCATGATTCTTATTTCATTTGTTTCTTCTCACATGTTACCTTCTATTTTTTCATACTCCTTTATTTCTCTTCAAAGTAATTTACACTATCTTACATTCTATTATACATCTATTATCAAACGACTTCACTAGAAGTAAGCTCCATGACAGCATGAGGTTTTATTCTTAGTTAACTTTTTTATCCTCACAAAGTAGAGCAATACCTGACACATAGTAGGTACTCAATAAAAATATATTATATAATACATATTATTATAAATTACAAATATATACTATTATAAATATAAATTATAAATATTGAATAAACGAGTACACAAATATGCATGTGCAGGTTGATTATGAATATGGCTTAAAGATCTAAGCTTACTAAATAATACCAAGGGCATTACTCACTTTTCGTTGCTTTACAGAGTCCAATTTTATGAGCCAATAAGAAGCCACTTTTGTTTTATGATGCTTCCAGTTATCCATGATCTGTTTGGAGGGGGACATTAAAAGTTTAATCTAGAATGTTCATCCAAAGTAATAAATAAAAGTAAGTAAATGCTTAATATCAAATTTGTTATGTAATTTGTACAATGAAAGCAATATAGCAATACGTATAACAAAAATCTCAACTTTCATAAAAAAGACATGTGCAAAGACTGCTAACATAAGGCAAAGAAACTATCTAAATTCAAACCTTTTCCTTCTTGCTGTACAAAAGACACAATCTCTAGTGAATGAAGAGTCAGAAGTTGTCAGGTACATACATTTTAGGAAGAAATGCAAGACACAGATTTTCAACTTTATTCCCAGGGCTCATTAACCACACAGCAATAAATTATTGAATAATATATTACAAGGCAACTTATATTTAATTAGGATTCTATTATTCTTTTGTTTTGTATTATGTGTACATTTGTATATTGTAGTAATACATGCTGTAGCAAACAGATTCAAACACTGCATACAGTTAACATACAGCAAATAATCTAACATTATATGTTAATTATTAACTACATTCCATTAACTATAACTATATTAGCCTATGTATGTTCTTTATAGATCATGTTAGCCACAAATATTAGTTCTACTATGATCAATTTTCTTCTACCTGATTCAAAATAGTATATAAAAAGAAATATATAAAATTATAATTATCCTAGTACAAAGTCATTGGCTTTACTTAGAAAAGACATTTACTGAGTAAGATAACCCACATGAGTAAAAGCATATCTAGCACAATGCTTTACAGTCAATTTTAATTTTCTTCCTTCCCTTTGATGAAATGAGAAGTAATTTGTTGACAGATAAGATGATATTTTCACTATTTTTTAAAAATATAATAACAAATAATATTGGGCACTTTAGTTATAATTATGTCATGATTACAAAATATAAGTTGTCATTATGGATTTTAATCCAAAAGGCCTTCTTTTCATTGTCGTTTTATTTGTTTTTGTTTCTATACATTTGCTTTAGACAATCCTAAAGTAATGTTAAAAACTAAAAAGGCCAAGTGCCTGGTTGTGGCTTTTATCCTACAGTTGACCACTAGATGGTGCTTTCTCCTCTTGGAAAAAAAATACAGAAAGTGCCTAAATGATACTCTGCTTCTGAAGAATTATCTGAGAAAGACCAATTTGAAAGGGTGTTTGAATGAAGAAATGGAACCCCAAGTGAGGAAATGCTTCGAATCAAAAACTATTTTGTAACTTTGGCCTTCTTTCTGAATTAGGAGTAAGTCTAACTCTAACATGAGTTTTAGAACCCTTTGCCATTTTCAGATATTCCACTGGGTGGTGCAAATGTGTGTGTAAAAACAGAAAAACACAACTCAATCTATTTCATTTCAAATTTTGACCAAAAAAATGTGACATCCAAGGTGTCACGTTTCATATCTGCTTGACACTTTTCTTCAGAGCCCCACTTTTTCATCAGTCATCATTCCATCTTAGATCTTTCTAAGGCTTTAAAGAAGCAAGTTTAACTGATTCTTCTTTAATCACTAAGAACAATGATTATTTAACCCTAATTATTCTCGCTTGATGAAATAATCTTATCATTAAAACAGGACTGTATACTAATTGCAAAGCTTGATTATAAATGGGATCTCACTATTCATGAATCATAATTATTAAAATAAATTCTTCTATTTTATAAAGCTTGCAGAGGTTGAAAAGAATATCAATGAGGTATGCTATGTCATTGAGCATAATACCATTAGGAAATTCATTTTAATAATTTAAAAAGAATAAATCAATGCTTTTTGGCATTTTATATACATTGAATACTCACATCTTCGATCAGAAGTTCTGAGTCTGCATCTGATTTTCCTGGAAACCTGATCTTCATGTCCTTGAGGACAAATAAGGTCTGACTTGTTAGATCATCTTCTTGTTCTTTCGTTCTCAGTTGCCGCAAAGGCTCACTCTTAAATTTGAAAGAATACAGATATTTGGAGGGGGTCTTATTTCATTGTGCCAGTTTAATCTGAAAGATATTTCTAGGTAAAAATGATGCGCTTTAATTGAAAAAAATAACAAGAAGAAAGGAAAAATAATTTTTTACATTTATGAATTCTTAGCATTAGACTGATATAAATCCCAAGGATATCTTTCACATAGTTATGTTTTATTTTGCTCAAAATATAAAAATAACAGTGAGTGTTTAAAAAGGACTTCCTGGTCAGTTTCATTTACTACATATATCTCAGGCAACTGTTCTTGATTAGAAAAAAATCAGTCACTGATACCAAATAAAGTTCATTCACTTATCTTTCCTGATTTTTTTTTCCTTTGGAAACAACATCAATATTAAAGAAACAAATCTCTGGCCTATGTGAAGGTACTTGGTTGCAAAATAAATTCACTGACTCCTCACATCTAAATTTCTGGAATTCATTCTGAAGAAGATCTACTATGTGTTAAGACATAGGAAACATTACAAACAATGTTGAATCTAAGTGATTGAAGGAGAATTTATTAACATTTTTTAACCTATTTATCAGTAGTCCCATTAAATAAAATTTTCCATACTACAAATTCCCCTAAATTTACTGTTAAACCACACATTTACTCAGATCATTTTTCAAAAATATTATCCTTCTGCATCAGCAAATGGAAAATAAAATAATGGTGTTCCAGTGTCCATCCTTGAGGCTATGAAATAGTGAAGTCTGCCTTTTAAGAGATCATTCTAAATTGTAGCCTAACACAGATAAATAATACAAATTCCTGGAGCAATGAATTGAATTACAGAAAGGATCTGAGAACCCCTAATCTGTCCGCCCCTCATCTAATCCCCTTTGCCACCTAGATTCTGCATACAATGGTCTCTCAGATCTTGAGAGGGCAAAATAGACAGCTTACCACCTGAGAGTTGGCAGTGACAGCATCATTACTGTGGGGCACATGTCTCATGTAGGAGGAAGCACGGTTTAAGGAATGTGAACGAGACTCTGCAGGTGGCCGTGAGAGTGATATCACATGCTGAGCAGAAAAGGGGCGAATGTCCCCACTGGCAGCTGAGTGAGCAGAGATGGACCGAGGGCAGCTCACTGAACGCCTCATGGAATCTATTGACGAAGGATAAGAGGGAAGGTGTAGTCGTAGTGTTAGTAGAAGTCTCCCCACATACTGAGCCCATGTAAACTAAAGAGTAGACTAGGTGGTACCTAAGTGGCAAGTGTCAAAGCATAGGCATCAGCATGAGAAGAAAAGTTTGGAATAAATCCTTTCAATAGTGAACCTGGTGCAGAAACCTCTGGTGTATAAAGAAGGACTATCATGGGAATAATACTATAAGCAGTCCTTTAATATTATGTTCTCAAAACATGGCATAAAGAACCAGAAGGAAGGAAATTAACGTTGATAAACCATCTTCTATAAGCCAGGCATCATGCTAGGCACTATGCGTTTATCTTAATCTTCACAAAAACCCTCTGAAGGAGAGATTTCCATCACCTAGCAGTTCTGAGAAAGAACTTCCTCAAGCTCACATGGCTGGGTGGTAGCCACAGTCAGGTTTAAATATTCACCTGTCTAATTCCAATTTCCTCCCTCCTTCTATAATAGCATAATGCCATTCACTATCCTTGGGGTTAGACTGGTCATTTATCAGAATCTGTGTGCAGCTAGAAACTGAATATCTTACAGTAAGATTCATAAGAAGGCTAAGAAAGGAGTCTAGAGAACGGCCAGGGTGCTCAGGTATGTTACAGAATTTAGGGAGACAACTAAAACAGAGGAAAAGTATAAAGATAAGTCTAATGGAGTTTAAACACGTAATTGGCTATTACAATAGTTAACACTAAACAGACAGCCTTGTTATTCACAGAAGTCAACACCAAAAAACCTGGGTACATTTCAATAATAAAAGATTTAAGTAAATACACAGATTTATATGATTGTTATGTGAACAAATACCTAGAGAAACCATAAAATATCCTCACTAGCACATAGCAAGAACATTTAAGAAAGAGAAACTTTTCTGATAAATCATGATGCCTGACTAAGGGGAATAATCATTCAATATTATCAACACTTTTATCTTTTTTAAACCCTATATGTTCTACATAGCTTCTGCTCTATATTCTCTCTCTGCTTGGAGAACAGATCAATCTTTATTAATTAAATAATTTAATAAAACTCACATGAAGCCAGGTTGAATACCAAAATATTTCTCTTCATTAGCTGTTGAAAAAAAATGTAAGCCTTTATAAAGGTGATGGATATAAACTGGACAATTAGGGATGTGTTTCTACAGGATATTTTGAATAGATGAGAAATGTAATACTGCTCATTTAGGTGTGGAGAGTGTAAAAAGTTATACTCATTGAAGCTACAGAAGATGTTTAATTAAAAAAAAAACAACTTCTATTTGTTTCAACTATTGCTTCCCAACCTGAGAATAACACTCTTTGAAAGCACACTGCCTCAAAAAGAGAAGGGCTATCTAAGGAACATACCATTGGTCAGTCCATTTTTGTGGGTTTTTTTCTATAAAGAACTACATATTTAATATGTACAAAGATCAAGCTTCTGCTACAAAAATATCCCAAATAGTATGCTAACTATACTGAAGACCTGCTCCCTTTGAGGACATATGGTAGTGGTTTGGATGTGTATAACCTTATCACAGCACAGAAGAAAAATATCCTTTCTCTTGAATCATAATAGATTCCCATTTTTTACCTGAATACATTGGAAATTCAGACAGAAAACTAAAGTAGCTGGACATCCCAATGATAGTTGGGTAGATTAGAGAAAATACTTGCTACTTCCATCTACAAATTATGTGAGAAAAGTATTTTACATGGGTCTTATGTGACTACCTTTGTATCAAACCAAAATATATTCTTTCAAAAACAATATATTCAAACAAGTTTGAGTTTCTCAAATTAACCATCTGAAAAAGAAAGTATTAAACTCAAGTTGGATTTTCTCATCTACCATCAGCAGCATGAGGCTGATTCGTGGCTATAACATTCCTTACAGCGAGATCAAAGAGAGAATATAAAATAAAGTGAAACCTTTTTTTGTACCCTTAAGAAGTACAAAAGAAACTGCAAGTAGTAAATAAAATGATATGTAATTGAATTAGACTAGCTTTAAAATGAAAATTCATAGTTAAAAACATTTTTAAACCCATATACTATTTTAGTACACTATTACCTGACCTCAATTTATTAACCTATTTTCCTGAGAACAAAGAATAATCTCAGAGCTATAAAAACCCTAGCAATTTCTTCTCTATCTTTCCCCTATCCTTCATCAGTCTATATCATAAAAGAATTGTCACTTTAGCTAATAGGAGAGGGATTTAAAAACTGACAAAATTTGGGCAGGAAAATGTCATCTTCCATAGTAGAAACAGAACTGTACTTAACCAGAGATGAATCTGCAATCCTTAAGGGAAAAAGTGGGAGTAAAATAGCTCACGAACTCTGAAACAGGTATTTAGTAAACATCTCTTAAATGAGCAAATAAACAAAATGGAACGTAACCATTACTACCCTTCCAAATACACAAATCCTCAAAAACAGGAAGCATATTTTTATGGAATAATTTGGAAGCAAAAGAAAGGCTAATCCTCGAAGTCTTTATCTATTAGTTCTACATTCCTCGTGCATTCTTCCATAAGCAAGGCAGACCAGTCTTAAAAAACAAACATTATCAGGGAAGATAACAGACTGAATCATTGCTGGAGAGCACAAAGGCTCCAAACTGTGTTTATCGCATGATTAAACTGGTTCTTTTCATGGAACCCTATGACCTGAAGTACTATGCAAATATTAGAAAGTAAATATTTATCAGACAGAGAAGTTAAGAAAGGTCCTGGACTGAAGGCAGCATCTGGAAGGGGCTTTCCAAGTGAATCTAGACAAATGGCACTATTACATTGGACATGTAGAGGTAAAAGAGGAATCACAGGCACAATTGTGGGCACTTGCGATTGAAGAAGGAATGAAAGACAGGAGAAAGATGAAGAAGAAGAATGTGGAAAGACTAAGAGCAGAAGACAAAAGGAAGTTGGAAGGGAAGGACATGGAAGAAGTGATTAGCTGATCTTCTTATGCACAAGCCTTCACTTAAGTGCTTACCCGTGATGTAAATGGGAGGGAACAAAACTTCAACTATTTCACAATTGTGTGGTGCACAGATACATTCAAGTCAAATGCCTAGAGAGATACACACATTTTTTAGAAATAGATAGTAGTATCAAAGTGGGTGACAGAGAGGTACAGGGGGAGATGGAATAAGACACTATATCAGATTGAAGGAGAATGTCATTGGCAGACAAATCAAAGGCACATTTTACAAAAAACCATGCAACAATCTAGCACTTAGCAAAAACTATGAAATATAGAAGGATGGCGCCTTAATTCAACCCTTTTATTTTCTATTTTCAGTATCTAAAAGGGATTGAAAAAGGATGGGTCCAGGTCTGGTTAGGGAATAACATGGGATAGAATCTAGGACTCCTCAGACATGACACATGTTCATTTGGCCCAAAGTCATTTTATTGAGTTCAATAATTTCAACTCTATCGTTCTTCATGTATCAACTAAATTAGAAGAAACCAACTTACTGGCTTGTTGGATCAATTTGCAGTTGTTGGTGTGCTTAAGAGTATATGGAACTTGCTTTTCTCTTTTCTTGTCTTGACAATCTTCTTTTTCATTCTCTTCAAATTCTGAAGAGCTGCTGCTGCTGTCATAACTGCTGTCACTGCTGCAGTATTTCTGTTTTTTCATTATCTCAGTGCTCTCTGGCATCGAACACAGGGGCTAAAATAGAAGGATATGTTATTTTGTTAGAATTCAAAAAAAAGGCTTAAATTACCATGAGTAGTTCCTATTTTTAATCCCAACCCCCATGCTTGCTGCTTTTCACTTTGGGCCAAAAATCCCCCCATACACCAGTGCTGCTACAGTGCTGCTCAGCCCAGAGCATCTGCTAGCTGCTCTGTTTCCATGGAATATTCTTTCCTAAATAATATAGCTAGGTCATGATGTGGAAAAATGCTGCTTCTACATAATGGTAATAAAGAACCAGAGTATCTGTTAAACAAAGAATAACAAAATGAATGAGAAATGTTGGATATGAAAATTTAAAAATCACAAACCTAATCACCTCTTCATTCCACATAGAGAGATTACTCCTCAAGACTCATTCCATAAATGCAGGAGGAGGAACAGCAAGGAGGGGCAAGAAGGACAAAGGGAATAAAAGCAGTAGCCAGAGAAGTCTCATAAGTAAGAACAGGTCTTAAAACCCAGCCTAAGAGCCCGTCCACACAGACAATGTGCAACAAGAAGTAAGGTATTCCTTACATGGCTAATTTGCTGTGGATATTCATTTATTTATTTATAAGTAAATATACAGATAAATTAGCCTCACATATGCTAAGCAGGTACTCTAGCACTGAACTACATCCCTAACCCCTACTGTGGATGGATATTCATAAAATAAAAATTTTAATTTTTATCCATTTTCCAAATTGATCATGAACAACTTATGTCTCTCCTCAGAGGACTCCTAACTTTGACACATAGAGTCTGGCCATAATGGAGTAGCACTGCTTTCCTTTGTCAGTGTTACAATCTTCACAAAATTACACAGTATGAAAAGCAGTGTGGCATGAATTTTTTAACATGTTACGTACTATGTAGAAGAGTAAATCTGTAAAGATTCAAAATGCCATAGTATTATGTTCCAAATATCACTACTAGAATCACTTTTTCCCAATCCTCCTAACCAATGTGTTTCCAAAAATGTCAGTGGAAGGAACAGAAGGGAGGGAGCGCAGGACAGCTTCACTTCAGAAAGAATGTGCACAATCAACAACATGACAGTTTTGGAACTCAGTCATTTTAAGACTGTTTCTTACATATGCCATATGCCTTCTAGTCCTACTGGGAGAGGTTCCTGCAGTTGTATACTAGTGGTTTGTTCTCTGTTAAATCAAACAAAAATGTTTTGATGTTAGCACACACCATAATGAAATCCTTGAATACTATGGGATTTCACTGAAAGAAGGTATATCCCTCCACTGTAGCAGTGTGGGTTGAAAGATAAAGAGAGAAACAGATTTCATGAAGTGCCTGGAATACACAGTAAGTTAAACCATGATCATCTTAAAAGGGACAGCCTTTGCAAAGGATGAACTATAACACTAAGTCAGAAGTTTGTGTTTAAAGATACGTTCTAATATGTACTGAGCACTAACCATGTTCAAAGAGATACACAAAAAACATTTACCAGTAACACAATCATCAAAAACTTTGACAGTCTTGGGGAACATGAACTCTAGAGCAGGGATGCTTCTTCAGTTTAGCCTAGCCTGATGAAACAAGAGCACAACCAAACTTCCTAGGAGTGCCTTCCTCCAGAAGGCAAATGGCATTAAAGAACTCAACCATATAGCGAGTTATTTCACCATATAAACAATCACAAGGGAAATGGATAGCTGAACCTTTGTGCCATACTTGCATTTGGGACCTTTTGACTATCATGCTGTTTAAGCAATGATTTATCAGAAGTCACAGCAGCATAGACTATAAACAGTGCCCTGACTATAAAATGAAATTTAGAAACTGGCATTTAGTTATGACACAAACTGAGGCTGCCTATTTTTATGTCCAATTTTATTATGAAATATGACATATATAAAATACCTAGAAGTACAAATAGTAATACAAATACCCATGTACCTACCACCCAACTTAAGAAAAAGAACACTGCTTTGTAAACACCATTATAATTCACATAAATTTATTTTAATATCAAAGCACATTTATATTCTATTGACATGCTGTCATAATAGAACCATTTTTAATTTTAATTTTAAAATCTGAAATTTGTTTGAATATATGCTGAACCATATCTCCAAATAATTATTAAAAGTTTTTCTTAATCATGAAAGAAGAAAAAGAACATTTTCTAATGCTTAATGTGTCATTTATTATTTATGTAGCTAATTAAATTCTCAAGTAAGTGAAAAGTTATGTTTCTCCGGGTACAAATAAGTTTTTTATTTGATTTTATGATCATCTCCAATTATTCTACCAATAAAGACACTGGAGATCAATGTCTGACAGACAGTACCATCCCTCCAAAAAAGAAGGTCCACTTTGAAGTGTGGCTTACTTTAAACCTTTGATAATAAAAGTACTCAGTTCAAAGTTAGAAAAAATGCTTTTAATTTAATTATGCAGCTTTCAACTACATTGAGATGCTGCTGGCTTTAATTACAGGAACTATCTAATTGATTTCATTTCAAAAGCACATTGTTAACTCCTACTACTTGCCTGGAGCAAGAGGGGTTGACAAATATATACAACATGAAGTCTTCCCTCCAAGAGGTTGTACTTTTGTTGGGACGGCAAGTGTTACACAAGTGAAACAAAGGAAAATGGAAACCTCAGGGCTTTTGCATTTACCACTCTGCCATAAACACTATGTCCCTAGGAAGTCTCATGTTGGGTTTTGCAAATTGCAATAATTGATAAACAAAGCTTGAAAACTCCTCACTGTTCGCCAAAATGAAGCCATGATTCATGAAGGCATTAGCTTTTACAAATGTCTTGAATATATTTGTTCTGAAAGAATCATCAGCTACTTGTTCCAGAGAGCACGTAATTCAGAACCGTGACTAACATCCCAGGTCTCTACAGAGGCTTATTTTCCACTTGGCAATCCTTGCATCATTTTCATAAGCACCTTCCACTTGAGTCATAGCACAGTGCCATTGTTTCTATAGCCCTCCACGTAGCCTCACCCCTCCATGTCTTTGCCTTTGATGTTCCCTCTATTCTGAAAGCCTTAAATCCCTTAGATGCATGCTCATTTTTCAAGATGCAGTTCACATGCTAATGCCGTTATGAAGCCATCCACATTCTGAATGTCCCATCTTCTCTGTGCAGCTGCAGCACTTCATGCTCTTTATTACAGGACTTATCAGATGACTTCATGCTTTGGGGTTTACCTGTCTGCTCTTCTACTAGCTAATGAGCTTCTTGTGGACATACTTATATGGATTTTGAGAACTTACATTGTGCCACACTGCATTAGATGCTAGGAATGCAAAGATGAAAATCCACTTCCTACTGTCATGGTGCTTACAACCTTATTATAACTTCATGCAAATAATTACAAATGCTCTATAAAAGTGTTGTTTATGGTATAGCAGAAGACAGAGGAGATGGGAGATTGAAACAACTGGAACCACAAGAGAAGGGTTTACAAAGGTAGCAACAGTACAGCTAGATTAAAAGGAATCTAACCAACTGAGCAAAAAATCAATGTTTTTTTTTAGTAGATAGGCATGTCAGAGACATGTCCTGAAAGCAGGACATATCAAGATGTCTATGAATGCAAAAATACTTTAGCAATGATGAAATGTAAAGTAAAAAGAACAGAATGAAATAAGTTTCCAAGATTTCTCAAATTCTACTTCTTTCTCTACGAGTGAGGACTCTGATATATGTCAGAAGAATACATGGATGCTATGACCACAGAACAGATGCAAGTAAAGCAAACACTTGCCCTTTTTAGCAGACATGACAGTTTTTTATTTATTCCTAGGAACTGTACTTATTTTTTCTTTTATACAAAAACGCTACCAATGTTGCAGTGACCTGCAACAAAAGACAAGAGGCTCCCTAACAATGAGTCTATGGAGTAATGAGTTACTACACACCTCCATCTAATGTGACACATTTCTTTAGTAACTTAGTATTTAATGCTACACATTTTTTTAGTAACTTAATATGAGGGAAACTTAATACTGAGTGTAGAATCAGAGTATTAGTCTTAGGCCCTGTTGGCCGTAACTCATAAGGCTTTCACTAGCACTAGGGAAAGAACTAAAAACTGAAAGAAACTAACAAAACAAAATTTCTCCTTAGGATTGAAAAATCTACCATTAAATTTATATGGAAACACAGAGGCCACAAATAGCCAAGGCATGCTCAGTCAAAAGAACAATGCTGGAGGTATCACAATACCTGACTTCAAACTATATTACAAAGCAATAACAATAAAAACAGCATGGTACTGGCACATAAACAGACATGAAGACCAGTGGAACAGAAGAGAGGACCCAGATATGAAGCCACACAACTATCACCAACTTGTCTTTGACAAAGGTGCTAAAAATATACGATGGAGAAATAGCAGCCTCTTCAACAAAAACTGCTGGAAAAACTGGTTAGCAGTCTGCAAAAAACTGAAACTAGATCCATGTATATCACCCTATACCAAGATTAACTCAAAATGGATCAAGGATCTTAATATCAGACCACAAACTCTAAAGTTGATACAGAAAAAAGTAGGAAATACTCTGGAGTTAGTAGGTATAGGTAAGAACTTTCTCAACGAAACCCCAGCAGCACAGCAACTAAGAGATAGCATAGATAAATGGGACCTCATAAAGCTAAAAAGCTTCTGTTCATCAAATGAACAGTTTAAAGTTTAAAGAAATGTTCTTTAGAGAACACCCACAGAGTGGGAGAAAATATTTGCCAGCTACACATCAGACAAAGGACTGATAACCAGAATATATAGGGAACTTAAAAAACTAAATTCTCCCCAAACTAATGAACCAATAAAGAAATAGGCAAGTGAACTAAACAGAACTTTCTCAAAAGAAGAAATTCAAATGGCCAAAAAACACATGAAAAAATGCTCACCATCTCTAGCAATAAAGGAAATGCAAATTAAAACCACACTAAGATTCCACCTCACCCCTGTTAGAATAGCCATCATCAGCAACACCACCAACAACAGCTGTTGGCGAGGATGCGGGGGAAAAAGGAACCCTCTTACACTGTTGGTGGGAATGTAGACTAGTACAACCACTCTGGAAAAAAATTTGGAGGCTACTTAAAAAGCTAAACATTGATCTACCATTTGATCCAGCAATACCACTCTTGGGGATATACCCAAAAGACTGTGACACAGGTTACTCCAGAGGCACCTGCACACCCATGTTTATTGCAGCACTATTCACAATAGCCAAGTTATGGAAACAGCCAAGATGCCCCACCACTGACGAATGGATTAAGAAAATGTGGTATCTATACACAATGGAATTTTATGTAGCCGTGAAGAAGAACAAAATGTTATCATTCTCTGGTAAATGGATGGAATTGGAGAACATCATTCTGAGTGAGGTTAGCCTGGTCCAAAAGACCAAAAATCATATGTTCTCCCTCATATGCGCACATTTGATCCAAGGGCAAACACAACAAGGGGATTGGACTTTGAGCACACGATAAAAGAGAAAGCACACAAGGGAGGTGTGAGGATAGGTAAGACACCTAAAAAACTAGCTAGCATTTGTTGCCCTTAATGCAGAAAAACTAAAGCAGATACCTTAAAAGCAACTGAGGCCAATAGGAGAAGGGGACCAGGAACTAGAGAAAAGGTGAGATCAAAAAGAATTAACCTAGAAGGTAACACCCACGCACAGGAAATCAATGTGAGTCAATGCCCTGTATAGCTATCCTTATCTCAACTAGCAAAAGCCCTTGTTCCTTCCTATTATTGCTTATACTCTCTCTACAACAAAATTAGAAATAAGGGCAAAATAGTTTCTGCTGGGTATTGAGGGGGTAGTGGGGAGAGGGAGGGGGCGGAGTGGGTGGTAAGGGAAGGGGTGGGGGCAGGGGGGAGAAATGACCCAAGCATTGTATGCACATATGAATAATAAAACAATAAAAAAATTTCTCCTTAGTGTAAGACAGTATCATCTTTCCAACTTTATCTGCACTGAACAATAACCCCTGCAGCTCCTTGAAAGTATCACCAGGGGAAACCAAGAACTGAGCAGCACCTATGGGATTCTAAGGAAGAGAGTGATACTGCACCTTTGGTCCTCGAACCTTGGTAGGTTTCCCCATCAACTTTTCATCATCAATTTCACATTGTTCCAAAAGGTCCAAAATATCTTCCTCCTTCAAAAAACATTTTAATTAAAATTGTGATCACTAAAAGATTCTGCAATTTTTCCAAGTCCATCAATATCTATAAAATAATGTACAAGTATTTCTGAAATTATTTAGTGAAGATTGCCCAGATCAAAGAAGAGAAAATAAAAGATTACAGGAAGCTCTCTTGAAACTTTCACTGAAATCTGGCAACTTAAATTATACATGGATAAAATCTATTGTACTTATCATAAACAAATATATCCTTCTGTTCCCATTTACTATTAAAATCTTAGAAGACTATATTTCAATAAATTAGCCCACTGGACACTAAAATTTCTGGAAGTTCCTTCTAACTTTATAGACTACATTAATCATTCTTAAACTAATTGATGCACAATATTAAAACTCCTGATAGAAAACTGATAATTGACCTAAGAATTTCATTTAGAAACAATTTAATGTTAGAATTTGGTGAATGAGAACCAATTAATGAAACTCTTCACAAATTTTACTTCCTGCAATAGTGTTTTTACAACTTTATGAGCAGTTTTTCTTCTACAACCATTGGTGGTACTACAAATCCACAACCACCTGCATAACCTCCTCTTGTGCTCTTCTAGAATAATTTTGAAGTTGAGGGAAAAATTTAAAAATTTAACACAGCAGTAGATGTTGAGCAAACCAGACCAATAGCTACATGTATTATTCGGCCTGTAATGACACCAAAACTTTCTTTACAGATTTATGGCTTATACTTTAATATCCCCTTGAAATGTTTTTTGAGGAAACTAGAAACCTCATTGAACAGAAGTTTATGAAATAGGTTATCTTCATTCCAATCTAAGAAGGTTAGCTATTAAAACACCAAAAGATTCTTCTTATGTTTCTGATTAAATAATAGTTCTAGGAGATTCCATGGATACCAGCATGAGATAGTTAAAAAGAATCTCAAGTAGTCTGTTTCTGTTTAGATGATCCTATCACCACAGACAGTACTTTCATCCTAACAGCTAGAAAAAGCCAGTTGAACTAAACAATTACCTATTTTAAAACAGAAAGCTGTAGATAAAAATAGTGTAAAGAACTTTATTCCAGAGAAGGACAAGCTCTTCCCAGGTGAGTAGAGATGAGTGGTCCCTTCCTGCTTTGAGGACTTTTGTCAAGCCTGGACATAGGTGGACAGAGATCAGGTCTGTCACAGGCAGAGGGACTCTGCTGGGTTAAAGAGAATGCTCTTGAAATGTTCCCTTTTGGCATCCTGAGAAATTAAGAGCTCTAACAACTCTGCTAAGAGACCACAGAGAGAGAAAGAGGCCTCAACCTGCTCCCAGGTGTCCTCACTGTTTTATCTGATTTCCCTAGATATGTGAGTTAAACTACCAGCTTTAATTACCTGCGCTCATGCCAGTTCTACTTAGTAGCAAGTTATCCAAATCTGAGTGTCACAAACCACTAGGCTATTTAAATGGATTTCTTCATGTACAAATCTATGTAATAAGATGTGGTATTAAAATATCATAATTTTCTACTTATAATTTGTCACATCAGACAATTTATTTATGAAGTTATTTGGTTTGCTATGAAATGTTACCAGCTGTTAAAATGAAAAGGTTAAAGTGCATCATAAAAAATAAAATGTCTTTTATATGTAGGACTAAGGTGGGTTGTTTTTAAAGATATTTTGTTTGGCTTCATTTTTTTTCTCTGTATAAACACTCATTCACTTACCCTCATCTTTTTCAAAGGATTATTCAGCTCTCGCTGGAACGAAGCTGCTCTTCCTGAGAGGAAGGTCTGAAAGGCAACGGCCAACAAATTTTCATACTTTTCAAGTAGTGTTTTATCTTCTGGAGGATAAATTCGTCTACAATAAAATCAGATAAATCAGTTTGTTTAAAAAGAAGCTATCATAGCTCAATAGTTAAGGTGAGCTCATTAGGTAATCAATGCCCTCCTACTTTGTGCTAGTCCTATTACTAGATACTAAAAATAAAGACAAATAGCTATGTGAAATTCATATATTTTCACATTACTCACATAAATTAAGCATTGTCTAGAAAAGTATCATTAAACAGCACAATTCTAGAAGATACAGTGTGCAAGGGTTTGGCTGAGGGAAAGTGATTGGAGAATGGTGTTTGGGCAAATTGGACTTTGTGGAAAAGAGTTCAGGTGATGAGGGATAATGAGTAAGTGTGGCACACAAGAATGTAGGCATTAGTCCTGATGATCAATTTGGGGGTCATGGAATGAAAACAGGGTAGCGGTAAGGTAGGAGGTAAGTGTTCTTCTATGTTCTACTACGAGGTGTGAAGGCCAGGAGAAAACATCTTACCAGAACTATAAGAAATTCTGCACCCCTACGCCTTCCCAAATCCTGCTGAGGCAATGTTGAAGCTTGGGAGGAGGGGTAAACTTTCCTAGAACACAAGGAGTTTGGGGGTCCCCTTTTGATCCTGTCAAGGGTGATACTATGAGGGGTTCCAATTCACCCCTGACTACTGTCTCTGCCTGGCTCCTTCAGATAATTTCTTATTTTGCCCAGTTCCAAGAATTTGGCTTAAAAAAAAGAAAAAAAAGTACAGCAGCCACTATGAATTGGCAGAAAGAAAACTGGAAGACCTGAATTTTGACTTTCTTAAAATACCACATAACAACCAAACATAGTTGCAGAAGAACAGCAGGCTAAATAGTCCTCCAGTAGGCACCCCAGAAGCTAGCTCACAAGAGCTGTCTCAAATTTGAACCATTTACCTTTCCTTTCTTGAAAGGTGTCTTAGAATGAAAGAACAGTGTTTAAAGTAAGCCTCAAAGGTTTAAAAATTAGAATGATCGCTCTGACACTTCATTCCTTCAGTCTATATAAAAATGGCAGCATAATTACCTGTAATTCCCCATATGTCGATTTTCATGTTCTTCTCGCAAGATCTGCTTTCGTACTTGAACAAGTCTTTCTTTCTAAGAATGAAGAAATTTTACAAATGAAACCTGATGAGTCACATAACTCAAATTGTGTGTACTTTGTTAAAATGTTCACACCGGGCTGGGGGTGGAGCTCAGTAGTAGAACACCTGCCTAGCATACATGAGGCCTTGGGGTTAATCCCCAGTACTGTACACATACAAAAATTTTAAAAAATAGCTTTCATACCAACTCTTCTTTCCGCCTCTCCAACTGGTGTCTCTGCTGTTCCCAGTCTGAGGAACCCGGTAAGAGCCTTCTTATTGAACTGTGGCCATATAGCCTCCTCTGAGCCTCAGCTTTTTGTTTGGCCAAGTTTTTCCTTTTATCGCTGGTCCTGAAATATGAAATACAAGCCCATATTCCAGAGTTCAAACAACCTCTGATTTTACCACATGAGAAGACTTTGCAGAAGAAGAAATGCACTGGAAAATGGAATCAAAGTTAATTAAACTTACGTATTCACATATGATATATTAATCAACCATCTATCAAATATCTGTACAGTAAGTAAACCTTCTGAAAACAACAAGATAAAAACAGAAACATTACACATCTTGATGAGTAAGATAGACAGTTTCATATTCCTTCCTAGCAACTTAGTAGACATACAATCTTAGACGGGTCAATTAAATGCTGAATCTGTTTCCCCATCTATTAAATGCTAACAATAAAATTTCCTCCTAGAGGTCTTAAAAATTAATTTAGGTAATTAATTAAGGGGTTCTCTTCTCTCAACCAATTCCATTTATATTTAAGCACTCTCATTTATACTAACCACCATTTAGTACATTTAGTTATGACAAAAAGCCTGGCCTAACAGTTATTTGTTTGAAAAAAGTCTGTATAGTCCCTCTAGTTTTTTGCTCAATCATGAAAATTTAATTTTAACTCCCTGACTTTTATAAAAGAAGTCCTGTTGTGAGATTATTTTCTTCTGAATTCCTTTTCTCTCTTCCCTCCCAGGCAACTAGGACAGTAAGTATAAGGTTTCTTCTCCACACCCTTCCAACTTGCACTCTTACAAGCCACCCTTGAAAGACCTATCAAGAACAGGGTGGAATCTAGGAGAAAAGGAAAAACAAAGTCAATTCTCCTTCAGTGTTATGGGAAAACAGAGCTTATATCATCAAGCCTTCTATCTGGCATTGCCCAGGTATGGATATAAATCAAAGGGAAGCTGACAAGAGGGTCTTTTGGCCAGCTTCTGCTGTGAAAAGGTAAAAGAGCTGCTAAGTTTATATAAAGTCCATTCAATTCATCAGAAAATTACACTGAAAATACCAGGCCAAGGCCCTGGATAATAAAACAATGCTCTTTTCCTTCAAGTATAGGCCACGTTTACAACTCCAACTTGTAGATGTGCTAGGAAACTGATCCATTCTTTCATGACAACGTGGAGGCTTCAGTAGCAGGAATTCAACAGGTGGTTGGGATAAGTGGCATAACTTGAGAAAATAAGTAAATACATCCAGAAAACTAAAAGTCATTCAGTATGGCTGGAGCTATGGGTGAATGCAAGAAAATGAGCTAATTAATAATCAACTTAATGCTAGGTTATTGAGTTTCAAATTTAACTTTAGGCAATGAAAGGGGCAGGGGTTTTTGAATGATATTTGCAGGTGGGATACCCTCAGAAGTACATAGTGGCCACTGGCTTAGAAGTGTATGAGAGAAGAAGTAGGAAGTTGAGATGAGCTCTCTCATTATCAAGTATGAACCATAATGGGCCTGACCCAGGGAAGCAACAGTAGAACTGGAGATGTATTAAGTTTAGAAGAATATTTTGGATGAAGAATGGATTTTCTTTAGTGACTAATTAGATGTGAGGAATAACAAAAAGGAATGAACTTGTAATGACACCAAGATTTCTGACTTTAGTGACTAAGTGAGGAACATAAACTCAGCCCCTTAGTTTCCTCAGTAAAAAGAAAAGTCATGGTTGAGGTAGAGCTTAATTTTTCACTTTTTTGTATTCCACTTTATCTAGAATCATCACTTGTATATAGCATTGAGTTTAAAGGTATGAGGGAAAAAGAAAAAGGAACGAAAAGGAAAATAGAAAGAAATAAAGATGGAGCAATTAGAAAAAAATTGAGAAAGGAGTAAAAGAAGGGAATGAAAGAAAAGATAAAGGACAAATAAAAACCACTGAGATGCTTTGAATCATGTGCTACAAAAGAAATTAATAGATCTATTGTACATCCATAACCAACAAACCAAAAACAGACAAAGATGTTGACACATACACAGCTCAAACACACAAACAGGAGAGCAACAAAAATAAGCATGTATGAAGTTCCCTTAGACACACTAAGAAATAAAGAAAAGCCAACCATACTGAGACCTTTATTCCTTTTAGTAATATGACCTTTTATTAAAAATACATATATATATATATAAGGCAAAAATATATATTTACTTTACAAGTCAGAATCACACCAGCACTACAAATATAGCCCTTGAAGTAACATATGATATTAAGATAATAATGATATTTTCATTAGAATACTCTCCATATTCTAACCCTCAGGAATACTGTCATTGTAAAAACTTTGTTTGCATTTCTGTAAATGCAGGCACAAATTAGCACTAAAGACTCTTAGTACTTACTTCAGAAACAAGAATAAAATTTAACCAAAGACCAAAAGATCCTCATTCACTGAGCACTTTAATCAGCATTTTTCCATTCAACTGTATCTGTACATTGACCTAAGATGTTTTCTTTACAACATTCTCCTTTCCACTACTCATTACATGTGATCCCATCCAAGGAGTTCTCCAGCCACTTGGCTCATCTACTCTCTGCTCTGGGAGTACAGAACCACTTCCTTATTATTGCTCTACACGTAGTTGCCTTCAATGAACTTTCCTTCTTTTATCCTTGTGTTCCAATGCAAATTTTACTTAGTACACACGATATGCTGGTTCTAGGTGTGGCCCAGGAGATGCAAAGCAGAACAGACAGAGGCACTGCTCTCGAGGAGCTACAGACTAAACAGGGTGGGGGAATGACATGCAAGTAAACACACAGGGTGCAATGAGTGACATTTACAATGTGATAACTGAGTATGGTGATGGCTCAAAGGAGGAAGTAAAACAAATGGCTTTAGTCTAGGCTTCAAACAAAGTCAGGCTTGAGCTAGTTTTCAAGAATGAGTTGATAAAAATGTGGTCAGTAACACACTATGGTATAAATATGTCCTCCAAAAAGTTCATGTGCTGGAATATGGTCCCAAATATAACAGAGGTAATGAGACGTTTTAGGAGGTGGACCTAGTGGGAGGTGACTAGGTCATGGGGACACCACAATCACGAATGAATTAATCTCCTTTCTCAAGATACTAGGACAATTCTCTGGAGATTGGGTTAGGTCTCAGAATGAGATAGGGCTTATGGGACTGAATTATTTATCGTGGAAACTGGTTGTTTATAAAGTGGGCCATCCTATCCTGTCTGTTACTGCATTTGTGCTCCTCTGTGTGTATCCACTTTCCTTCCTCTTTTCCACCATGATTTCATGCAGCATGAGACTCTCACAAGAAGCTGGGCAGATGTCAGCACCATGCTCTTGGATCTCTATAACTGTGAGTTAAACAAACTCAGTTTTCTATGTAAAACTCCCAGTCTCAGGTATTTTGCTACATCTCCAGAAAACAGACTAAGACCACAGAGAATGGAATGTTATTCAGACTGAAAAAAAGGAAGGAAATTCTTATACAAGTTACAACATGGATGGTCTTAAAGACATTGCACTAAATAAAATCAGCCAATTACAAAAGGACAAATACTATATGACTCCATTCCAATGATAACAGGTACTTGGATATTGCTTTTCCTGAAAGCATAGACTCTTCATTTGGCCTACAGGTGCCTGACAAGTAAGTAAAAGCAGGATTAAGGTTGGCATCACTGCCTTCATTTCATAGCTGTCTCCCTTATTTTGGATCAGATCCTGCTCAATTCTACAAGAAAGTAGGTTAATCACTTAAAGAATGTCTATCTAAAAACTGGTAATACAAGATTGATTACCCCTAAATTTACCTAACCTATCTCATCCCTCTTCAAGACTGAAGAGTAACTAAAGTATCTTACTGCCAGCTTTTACTGGCCAGTAAGGTACCAAAGACTTTATCACTGTCCTAAACCTGCAGTCACCCTGGATTCAAGAGTTGGTGGAGCCTCATGGACAGATCACCCTATGATGAGATCATACAGAAGCAGGAACAATTGGCCCATAATGGGAACTGATGCTATCTCCCTAAGAAGGAGCAATCGCCTCTTAGAATTTGGATTCAAGTGATAACAGCAATAAAGATTTCTCTAGAACCACCTCAACTGAGATAATGATCAACTCAACCATAGTTTGACCAAGACTGGTTTAGTTATGCATTCCTTTCATCTCTCGGACCCAATTCTTCCTTCTTTTTAGATCTACTGCTCATGTTAGTACCCCAGAAAATGGGCTGAGATATTTGATCTCCTCCCTCTTCCCCATATGGCCATATTTACTAAATTCTTTTCCTACCATTTCACATAACTTTTCCATTGGATTTTCTGAGCTGAGTGACTAGACATAATTTGTTGGGACACCCCAGAATCAGGCCTCTGTGAGATACTTAAAGTAGTGCACTCAAATTCTTACAATGAATTCATAACGAAGGTGGATGCCAGGGACTGGGGTGGGTGTGTGTGTGTGTGTGTGTGTGTGTGTGTGTGTGTGTGTGTATAAGGAATGGGGAGTTAAGATTTAATGGGTAGGTACAAAGTTTCAGTTTTACAAGATGAAAGAGTTCTCCAGTTGTATGGTGTACACACAATTGTACACTTAAAATGATTTAAGTGATACTTTATATTACATATATTCTACCACCTCAACAACAAAGAAAAATGAGCTTGACATTCACCAGAGACACAAAGGTGAATGAATATTTAAATGAGAACAAGTGCAGAGGCATGTACATGTAAAACAGCACCGCAAAGAGTTCTTAGAAAAATCACTTCTATGGCAGAGGGGAAAAAAGAACAAGTGATTGGGTTAAAGTTGCAAGGGCCAGGTCAAAGAGTGTTTTGTACATAATCTAAAGATCAAAAAGTACCTTCTAAAGAAGTTTAAACTTTATCTGATAGTGTGGACACAAATGGGCAGAATATCAAAGTTTATAAATATCTCTTCAAAGTTGGCATTTCTCAGGGCTCTGTCCCTACCCCTCCTTATTTCTCAAACATCCCGACTGTGCATTCCTATCTGTTAGACCGAACTGCAATCTACAAATGGAGAGCGCTCCACTTCCTGGGGCCCTATTTATACCAAATTTCCCATTTCATAATTCTGCCTGTGTGTCCCAAAGCACCTGAAAATTAGCATGCTTAAAACTGAACTACTTCTCTTTCTTTTTACCTTCTTCTAAGCTTTAACAAATGACATGTTATCAAACAAGACAACCAAGCCAGACACCCAGGAATCACAAGAGGCCTCGAATTCAAAGTACCTGATGAAATAGCAGGGAACACTCAACAATCAGTAGTTGTTGGATGATTTGAAGAGCAAAAGGTTAGAAGCTCCAGCAAAGGGTGGAGATTAAGTGCTGGAAGCAGGAAGGAAACCAATAAATAGTTAGGGAGACACGTAAGAATATCAGGACTTGGAGAGAAGAAGAATTAAGTGACAGTCATAAATTTGTCAGGAATCAGTTGACTCATAGTGACGGAAGGAGTGAAGGATAGCTCCCCGCTTTCTAGCCTGGACTTTCATGTACATGCTTCTGCCACTAACTAGCAAAGCAAAGAAACATGGAAAACTGGTTTGAAAAACTTATGGAGAGGAATTTTTGGTTTTGAATTTCAGCTCTAGACAGTACAGGCTTTTTAAAAAAATGTCCAGTAAATGTATATGGGTGAGCGTTAGCCTTGTGGGTTGGAGGTAGGTAATTATCATTAGCAGAAAAAGGAGATAACCCAGCAAGAGGAAAATGATTGAAGGAATAAAATTCAACTTTGCTTATACTGAATTTAAGTGTCATCAGAACATTCATTCATTTATATACTTAAGTTTATTTAGCACATACTAGACCAGAAATATTCAGTGCTCAGGGCCTGTAGACAGCTGGAAATATAAGATCAAAGCTCCAAAGTGGAATAAAACTAGCAAGAGGCAACATTCTGCCTATGTAGAATGTTAACTACAGTGTCAGACATACAAATGATGCTACAAAACAGAATGAAATTGGCATAGAAGGAAAGAGAGTTAAGGCAAGAACACAATGGGGAAAAACGATAGGTAGGGAGCAACAAGTAAGAGAAACAATAGCGAGAGAGAGGAGTGCCCACAGCTAAGACTCAGACCAGTGTCAGAGGAAGCCAGAGAAGACTATAAGGTCAGCATAGTAGTAAATGCTGCAAGCCTGTATCCCATGAATTAATTTTAAGTAAGGAACATGTAATTTAATTTAATTTAATTTAATTAACAAGTATTTCATACCTAGGGACTTGTGGGACTGTAAGTACCTTCTAGATTCTGTTTTAATGATTGTCATAGAATACTTACAATGGAAAAAGACTCTTCATATCAATCCAGGAACCCCAGCACAAGGGAAAAATGAACTATTACTTGCTCTCCATGTGGATCCTTTCACACTTTGTTGTCTGTGAATTCAAAGCCTAATGTTTCAAAATTAGGTAAATCCGCACCCACATGCAAAGGATCAATTCTGATTCCCCCCCCCCCCCCCCCCCCGCCGCAGGTGAGCTTCTGCACACAGAGCAGTTGTCATGGCTCATCAGAGTTATTTATGGAGCCATCCCACAAGTAAAGCACTGGACTAAGATCAGTAAAGAACAACAAAACATATACTCTTTAACTTCAAAGAGTTTAAATCAAATTTAAAAAGTCAGCCATGCCCCGGCAAAATAGCACAGAGCATAAGAGAGTTAGCAAAGTGATAAACCATATGTTATGCAGACTGTAATTCCTTCTAAGGCTCAAAGAAAGGAAATATTAATTGGGGTCAAAAGGAAGATTTCATAATAAAAATGGCATTTGAGTTATTGGCTATAAGGAAAGGCATTCAGGATAGGGAACAGAATAAATCATTGAGAATGGGTAGGCTGTATGGAAAAAATAATGAGGTAATTTGTCTAACTAAAACAGTTCAGAAAGAAAAGGAAATAAGATGGAAGAGTAATAGTTAAGCTACATTATGAAAGGCGCTTAGACTGGGTTTTGGCAATACGACTCTATTTAGGTTGCTGAGTAGAAAGATAACACGATGAAAAATATTAAAAAATCATTCCAGTATTCTGACTAAAATGAACACAAACAGGAGGATTTCTGAAACCACAGAACAAGTCCATCCAACATTAAAATTGTCCACATAAAATGTGCTATAAGTGCTATGAACTGTGCCAAATCCTACAGCAAGAAACACCAAGAAAGATATGGAAGATGAATTTTATGTTTCCCTTAGTCTCACATGTAGAAATTTCTGACTCTTTAAAAGAATAACCAAAACCATCCCTAGATAATTTCTGAATTGGTATCATCATTTATAAAGACAAAAGATATGCCAAAGAAAACCTAAACTAAACACAAGGCTTAATAATAACAGTAAACTTTCATGCAAAAAAGATGTATCAGCAAATTGCTTAAATAATCTAAAACATTTAATGCACTTGTATAAGTTAAACAGAAAAGAAATTTATTCTTCATGTCTTTCTTTTCTACTCATTTCTTTTAGGATAGCTGAAATAACAGAGGAATTTAAATGTCAATATTTTATTAGGTAAAAGAAAAAGCCAAATGAAAATGTCAGTAGGCTTTATGTCCATTTTTTCACAGATGCTTTTCTACATAAATCTACTTCTCAATCAGGCAGCTGATAAATGTTTAGAAATTTCTTAAGTAGGAAAATTATTTGGAAGCATACTAATAACTGTTCTAGAGTTCTTAAATGACAATCAGAATGAATAAATTGAGACAAGCAATCTGAGACTGAATGACCTTAGAGATCCTTTATGCCAACACCCTAAGCACTACTGGAACACTTACAATGACAAACAACTCATCATTTCACAAAGCAGTTCTGTAATTCTTTTTTTTTTTTAAATTCAGGGTCTCATTATGTAACCCAGCCTGGCCTCAAACTCACAATCCTCCTCCTTCAGTCTCTGGAATTCTGGGATTATAAGAGTGAAATATTGTACCACATTCAACTCACTGAAACGTTTTTGGTGATAGTGTTGGTACTGAGGTTTGAACTGAGGGCTTCAGGCTCGCTAGGCAGGCACTGTACTCTCTGAACCACACCTCCAGCTCCGCCCTCCCCCCCTCTTTTTTTTTAAGCCTTTGCTCTGGTTATTTTGGAGATAGGATTTTGCTTTTTGCTGGGGCTGGCCTGAATTGTGATCTCCTATTTTGTGATTCCTATCATAGCTAGGATAACAGGCATGCACCATCACAACCATCTTTTTTCTACTGAGATGGGGGTCCCATGAACTTTATTGTTTGGGCTAGTCTGGAACTGTAATCCTCTCAATCTCAATTTCCCAAGCAGCTGGGATTACAGATGTAAGCTACCAGCAACCCAGCTTCTTTTAAATCTCTAACAAATTTCTTTCCAAATGAGTCAAAAGCTTGTCCTACAATATAGCATTTCAAATATTTGAAATCCAAGATCATATACGCTGCAACTGGCCCACCACCACGCCAACCAAATCTTCCCTCCAAATTTACTTCCCTCTGCCTATACTTTTCAATGAGAAAGTTCACCTTCACTGAGCAACTGTCTCTCTTTTGTTTATACAGCAGCATGACACAGTGAAAACGACTTATGAATAGACAGGGAGGAATTCCATGTGTGAGATTTTCTTATTTCCAGAGAAACCTTTGAATGCTTAGGTTGTTGTTGAAAAATGAGGAAGATAAGCTAGAGACCTCCCCAGATACACTGCAATTCACCTGCATACTCCACACTGACTGATTAATTATACCACGACTGCAACTTGATGACATTTACTACAGGAGCAGCATTCTAGATGGGGGCAAGAAAAGCAGCAAGCAATAGGAGGCAGGAAGATTTAACTATATGATTTTAAAGAATGGAATCAGAAATTCAAACTATGAAATACAAAGATTATAATAAAACAGCCAATTTCATGTGCAAATGCTTTATGCCAAATGGGGAAAGTTCCAGAAAGGGGAGGAAATACTTTACCTGATGTTCAGTAGCTTCAGTGCATTTAGCAGCACTCCCCTTTTCACATCATAGTCTATTTTCTGATCAGTTCCAAAGCTTGGTGCTCGATTAATCTGAAATTTACAAAGCAAACAGGATAGGCACCCAAATGTTGGAAGATCAATACATATCAAATACATGTTTGTGAATCTAACGTGGTATCTCCAGTCAGTAAAAGGACTGTACAATAAATCTCAACACTTCACATGGTGGATGACCCAGTTTTCACTGTCACAACTGGATGCCATCACCCGAGGTAAAGAGAACTGCAGAGAACTGACTGTGAGCACCAACCCCCTACCTTGGCTGCCTTCAGTTGAGGTAATATCAGCACTACCTGCCCACTCTCTCCAACCCATCACCCCATGCACTTCAGGTTTTAAGTTTAAGTTAAGTGACTTGACAAAAAGTTGGAACAATAGTACTTGTAGTAATCATATAGATCTAACTGTATAAGAATTAATGGCATTAAATGAGTCATTTGAGGCTGTTCTGCTTTCTGGCATCATTTCCAGGAATTCAAGATGAAAAAATAAGAAGCCAATCTCTGTATCTTAAAATCCATTATATAATAGTCTACTGCTTCAAGAGCTGGAGTTTTTGTCCTTGTTGTTGTTTAGTTTTATTATTGTAGTTGTGGAAAATTAACTGGGAGAGCAGGTGTTTAAATCAGTTGGTTATATTACTACCAAGTTCAAAACTACAGCTTTGCTTCTTGACCACCAACCTACCCCTCAGGCTCTCCCAACACAAATAAGTGCTAGTCAAAATTTTACAAATCCATTGTCACAAGAGGCAACACAGCTGATAGCATGCATTCCACAACTGGCACCTGAGGAAATGACACATTGCACTCCATCTAATCACAAATTGGCACAGGTTCGCAGCCAAAAAAAATTAAACAACAAAAGATCACTTGTAATGCCCTACCCAGCAAATTGTTAACCATTTTTGGTAAGTTGTACTCCAGATACTTTCTGTGCACACATATTTAAAAGTTTCTTAATCTTCTGAATACATGTCTTAATAACCATACTTTACTTATAATCCAAGATTTTCTCTTAATGATGAGTCATGAACATATTTTGTCATGTTTCTTCTTTCACAGAGACATACTACATTGTATTTTGTCTTTGTTAATAACTGACTTAAGGTAGTAGACACATTCCTGTCTTTGAGATGTGGTCTCAAAGAGAAGGAAATAGCTTGGACATTATAACATCCATTTATTCCAGGTCAGTTTGAGAAATAGAGTTTATTAATCTGTTACTTCAAAGCTCTAAGCATTTCCTCTCACAAGTGCAGAAACAGGGTAAAGTAATATATTATACATGAAAAAAGTTTCAACCATACTAATTCAAATCTCTGGAATTTATAAGACAGTTAATGACACACATGTTACAAGATTATAAAATAAACCAGGCATTTAGGACCCAATGATTAAGTGGTTCAGTGGAATGTTATCTCTCTTTATAGAATTCCTCAGGCATTTCATTCCCAATCGTAGTTGGGAATTCTGCCAGGTATATCCTTCCTCCAGAAAGTTACTGCATTTTTAGTATAAAACAACTTCATATCCCTCTTTCTTCTTACTTATTACAAATTCTTCCATCTACTAAAAATACAAAAAAAGGTTAGTCTACTCACAAAAGACAATGTGTGGACAGACAAAAACTTTTTAAAATTTAGGGTTGTTCTAGTTTTGTTTGTTCGAAGTTTTATGAGCAAGGTAAAAGCAACAAATAATTGTTTTAATGGAATCACAAATGGCTGACAGACAAAACTGAAAATCAGGCAGCGTTCCACCCAACCAGATTTCTCCTCTGTAACTTTGATGGTTTCTTTGGATCTCATTTTCTACCTCAATTCCAGAACAGACAAGACCCAGCAGATGTTCAAGTCTTAAAGTTCAGCAGCTTGTAAATGCATGCAAAAATGAAAATTATAAAATACGTTGAATTAGTAAATAGTACTATCAACAGTCCAAAACATACTTTCATAACTGAAACATGCTCAACTATCTCCATGTGTACATCGAGAAACCTGTAATAACTTCTGTGCTCCTATGTTACTGCTGTTTCCTCTGCCGCACATCCATCCCCTACCCTCATCTAATCTCTCCCAGCCCCCAGCCCACCTCTGCAGCCTTCAAACCCCTGCTCAGGTGTTCCCTCTATAAGGATTTTTTTTAACTCTCCAATACACACAGAGATTAATCACTTTACTGTTGGTGCCATTTTCTTGATTCCCTAATAATACTTATAATTATTCCTATGAAATACGTATTTGATTCTCCACTAAACCAGGGCAAAGCATTCTGTCTGATTCTCCTGTATCCACACCACCTAGCACAATGAATGTAACTTAACTAATATTTGTTTGATTTACGGGTACTTAAGTATTGGATGTATACATACTCTGCATAATTTTCCATTCTATAAATGTGTTCTATGCTTGAAAATTTCTTCAATTTTGCTACTACCAATCATTACCTGAAATTATTCTAATTTTCTAAAGGTGGCAGGCATGGTGGCACACACCTGTAATCCTAGCATTCAGGAGGCTGGGGTAGGAAGATCATGAGTTCCAGGTCAGCCTTACTACATAGCAAAAGCCTATCTCAAAAAAAAAAAAAAAAAAATTGCTACATTCTCAGAAGCAGTTTCTACCTAACTCCACGTGGTGGCGCCAAAAGTTTCTAACAATGTATACCAGAGCCACTACAATTTTAGCTGGGAGCAAAATACAAAGCAAGATCTAAAAATGATTCTTTTAACTACTAGAATATACTAAGTGTTTGTTATATACAGCTTTTGAAAAAGGGAGAATTTATGCTATCTGGGGTACTGGGTACTAAATACTGATTAATAAACCAATTGGAGAGACTTCTGCCCTGGAGAGTTGAATGGAGACACACTGAAGCCAGGTACCCACATGAAGGAAAGATAATATCCAGAGCTCTCAAAGTGGTAGAAGTCATGAGACTGAAAGAATAGTATAGCAAGTAGTCAACGACTCAGTAAAAGCAGATTCACACTTCTGTTCGTAATCTGTGGCCTAGACATTCACTCAATGCTCGTTTGGGAAAAGTAGTATCAAACACACATTCATTCATTCATAGAAGTAGTCTAGTTTCTGCCTTTCATTCTCTTCCTATCACATACTGATTGAATTCAGGTCTCATTCCAGTCAGTTGTTGAGACAGCTATGCCAAGTACACCTTTTAAAAACCTATGTTGTACTACTTAAGAACTGTGATGCCTGGTATGGTGGTGTGTGTCTGTAATCCCCGCTGTACAGGATGTGGAGAAGGGAGATTACAGTCCAAAAAAGAGCTAGGCAACAGTATGAGACCCTGCTTGAAAAATAAGTAAAGCAAAAAAGTCTAGTGGATGAGGCTCAAGTGATTGAGCACCTGCACAGCAAGCTCAAGGGCCTGAGTTCAAAACCCCAGTACTGACAAAAAAGAAAAAAAAAAAAACACCTGTGAAAACTTCTCTTCCTTTTAAAAAAATACACTTACCTCCAGTAGCCATGGCTTTAGTTTTCTATCCAACAAAATGTCAAATCCCAGTACTTCGAAGCAGACGCTTTCACTTCCTGGAGGCTGTCCAGGTCTGCACATTCGATAAGCATGCAGGACATGAGGTTCTGCTACAATCAGAGTCTTCACCACCAATTCCTAGAAGGATTGGGAGGAAAGAGGTGAGAATGACTTTCTTATCTGTAGCTCATTTACATGCATACCAACATGACCTAGGCCTAAAACCAGCATCCTGGCAGATTTACAGAGCTGTATGGTACCCAGGCTGTCACTGTCCCCACTCACTTCACTTCACTTCATCCAACTCTTCTGCCTGCCCACTGTCCTCCAGCCACACTTGATTCCTACTGGTTTTTCAAGAAAGTGACACTCCTTTCTACCTTAGTTCCTTTGATGACCTGTTCCCCCATCATAAAATACTCTTCCCCATTATCTCACAGCTGCCTTTCCCTGAACCTCATTTAAAAGTAACCATGCATAATTACTCACTTCATTACTACATATGCAATCAATACTTTTCTCTTTTTTATTAGAGCAAGGTCCTTGTCTGTTGCACTTACAGCACAATTCCCAGTAAGCACCTTTGGAAGATGCTTAAAAATATTTGTAAACAGAAAAGTAAAATAAGCCAGGTGCAGTGGCTCACACCTGTAAATCCTAGCTACTTGGAGGCTGAGATTGGGATGATACCAATTTCAGGCCAATCCAGGCAAATATGTTCACAAGAGCCCATCTCAAAAGAAAAATGTTGGGTGTGGTGGTGCACACCTGTCATCCCAGCAACAACTGGGAAGTGTAAAATAGGTGAATGGCAGTCCAAGCTGGGCTGGGTGAAAACCAAAAGCAAGACCCTATCTCCAAAATAACCAGAGCCAAAAGAAAAGGTTTGGAGGCATGGCTCAAATGGCAGAGCACCTGCCTAGCAAAAATGAAGCTCTGTGTTCAAACCCTGGTACTGCTAAAAAATAATAGTAAATAAAATGAAAGTTGATAAATGTGGTTTCTACTTGTTAAATGTATAAGAATAGGAGATATGCTAGCCCCAAACTGAAGGGGATGAGGTGATAGAGAAAAAGTTTAAGGAGAGTACATTATTCCACAAAGAACACTATGGAACCTAGACTTAGACAAAGACTGAAAGGACTAGGAAGAAAAATACGACAGTCAGGCTTCATAGGGGTCATTTCATAGTTTTCAAGGTTGACCTGAGAAGATAATGCTTCTGATTAAAGAACTGGCTATCAGCATTTTCTGTGAGGAAACATATAATACTACTAGGATAAATTGCAAATGCTAATTTTTAAAAGCTGTTTTATATAAGTTTGAGAACAAGCAATAGACAACAGAAAGGCTAGCTGTCTCACTGGTGTTTGCTCATAGAATACTGCCTTCTAACTCCCATTCGAAAAGTATAGGCAATACAGAAAGTCAGACTTGTGAGTTTAACTCTTGGCTTTGCTACTTCCTATCTGTGAGGCCTCAATCATGTTGCTTAAATTTTGAGTCTCATTTTTCCTAAATGTAAATTGCAAAAGATTGATATAAGGACAAAATTAAACTGCATGTAAAATTCTTCACATAGCACCTAAACCAGAGTAAACCTTCAGTATGTTTTAGCCACTAATTACAACTACTGCTATTATTAAACTATCATTTCTGCAGAATTCCATTTATATCATATGTCAGGCCAGACATAAAGATTCTACTACCTGGTGGGAGGGAGCAATATGTATTACATGGGAGAGAAAAAGGAAGACAGACGTTGATCTCATTGTCACCAAAAACTATAGACCACTTCATATTTGGGGATCAGTGTCAGAGATGCCATAAAAGGTTGTTTTCAGAAGGTGTTGCTTAATATTACAAATTCATGGTAAACCATAGCATACAAGTAAAAGACAAAAAGCCACTGCACATAAATCTTTGGAGACACTACAGAAAACAATCAAGAGTAAGAAAAAGTTAAGACTTTGGCCAGTAATTGTCTCTATGAAAGAAGACAGACTAGGGGGATCATAAATTTCTGTTTTTGCTATATAAAAAACAACACACTTTTAGGCAGTAAGGCAAAACTCCAAGTGATGAAAAGCTGCTCTAACCAAACACAAATCAAATGAAATCCGTACTACTTTGGAGAATGCCCAGCACAGTCTTTGCTTTGAAATACAATTTACAGGTTTGCATCTTATGTGCATAAAAAGCATTCAGTAGGAATATCTTTATGAGCAATTATAGTCATTTTTTTATCTCAGTGGCCTGACTTGCTACTGATTTCTTATTCATTCTTGGCCAGCAAAAAAGCACACAGCTCTGTTCTTCCCAGAGGGTACTGGTGAATCTTAGTTTTCATATAGAGATGGTTACTTTCTAGAGAAATTATCCCAAAAAGAGGTCATTGAAAAAAGTCTTATGTTATGTCCATGGAATCTGTAAACAAAGGCATTAAAGGTAAAAATTTACTGATAATGCTTTATTTCTGTAATTCTCCTTTTCTATTATCTCATTGATTCACTTTATGTAGATATCCATATAACAAATCAATTCTTTAAAAAGCAAATTTTCAAATAATTGTATACATGCAGTTTGATATCTGTAATATAGTACTTGATTACTATTTAACTTGCTATTTATAGATTATTACTATATATCCTAACTAATATAGCTAAGAAGGATCATGTGTCAGAGCTCAATAGGCCCACACTGGTGATTTGGGAGTCCTATCTAAAAAATACACTTTAGGCATGAATAGAAAAGTTCATTTCCATACCTACCTATTAGTATTAGTCTTGCTTGTGCAACTTTTCATAATCCAATTGTATGAGGAAAGTACTACACGAAACCAGTGTCAGTAAGGGTAATGATGCTCATTTTTCTTTCTATGTGATTCTCTTTACAAGGCAGTCAACATGTTTTATGATTTCACAATTTTGGTAAAGAAAAAGAAAGGAGGGAAGAGGAAGGGAGAGACAGGGAGTGGAAGGAAGGGAACAGAAGGAAGAAGGAAGGAAAGGGAAGGAAGGAAGAAAGGAAGCCAGAGGGTGTGTGAAACTTTCTTGGTCCCAATGAGCTAGTTATCTAAGGACTCCTTCATTGAATTGTCCAGGTACCATTAGTACCTCCCACCAATGAAGTACTACTAAAAATTAATGAAATTTTCCACTTGAATGCTTCTGACCCACTATGATAGTAAACTGTCATTTTTAGAATAAGTTTTGGAATTTCCACAAAAATTGGCCTTAGTAAAATATATAGAAAAATAAACATGCATTCTTGTAAATAATTTTCTGCTTAGATATACTTAGTTTCTGGAAGATACAGTAGAAAATTAACAAGGTGGTAGGCATCTAACCAAATCCAGAAGACAAAAATTTTGTGTGGAGCCCTAATATTTCTTAACTTTTTAAATTCATTGCAAATATTTACAAACTATTTATACCTTCTACTGACAAATTATAATTGAGCCCAAAATACCATGTGGCACTGAGTGGTAGCTACCCTTTAAACCTCTTATTCTCTTCAGATTACCACATGACACTCTATCATGATCTATCCAAAACACTCTCTCCTTACTTGTCTGAGACCTAAGGACCTTTGAATTTACTGCCTGTGATATAAAAGAGTTAAAAAAAATCAACTGATACAGTCAACAAAAGTATAAATATCATGATGATTTTTCTCTCTGATCCTCTCAAAGAGAACCAAGTGTAACCAACTCTGAACTTTCTTGTCTTCCATGACAGATCAAGTATTTTCAGCAGACATACTTCTCAAACTTTAAATATTATTTTAATATTTCTGGTAGGACTAATAAAGCATCTGCTTTGCCAAGGTTATCTTTATATCTATTTTCTGTTCTCTTTCATCTACTTTCATGGATTTAATTACCAACTGCACACCAAACACACACTTTCAACTGCCCATTTATGACTTCATACCTGTCACAGCATTTTAAGTTCAATACATCTAAAGTGGAACTCATCATCATAGCCTCATGGACTTTAAAAATCTCAGTTCAACCATCTTTAGTGAAGTTAGTCAGGTTCAGAAGGCCAAAGGCCACATGTTTTCTCTCATATGTGGACTATAGGCCCAATGCAAATACAAGCAATATTATGAAAAACAGGTCACGCTAAGAGGAGGTCACATACAAAAGAGGGAGGGTAAAAGAAGGAAGTTAAGAAGGTGAACATGGTTGGTATACTTTCTATATAAGAATGAATATGGAATTTTTAAACCTGTTGAAATCACAATAAGAAGAGGGATAAGACAGAAAGAACAAAAATAGAAAGAACCAATTTAGGTTATAATACATATATACATAGAAATGTCACAATGCAATTCCCTGCATACTATCTTTTTTTCAAAAACAAAAACAGAAAGGCAAAACATGCCCTATTTGGAGGGTTGGTACCAGTGGGAGCGGGGAGGATATAAGGAAAGGATGTTGGAAGCTAAATATGATGGAAATATTATGTACTCATGTATGAAAATGGAAAAATGAGACCTGTTGAAACTGTTCCAGGAACGGGAGGAGGGGGATAAAGGAGAATGATGGAGGGGGTGAATTCGACTATGATATATTGTAAGAACTTTTGTAAATGTCACAATGTACCCCCAGTATAGTGATAATATGACAGTAAAAACTTTTTAAAAAGAAAAACCTCCTCAGTTCAGATGTCAATGTCTCCCAGACGTTCCTACTTCTATCCAACAAATCCCCATTGCCTGCCATGTCGCTTAAAGCTGCAATGTGTGCTTCTACTACGTCCCCACAGAATCCAGGGGGTGCCTGGGCTGTTGTATGTGTTCTGCTAACAATTTATGCGCATTTTCCCCTACTAGGCCATAAAAGTTTTCTGAGGGTTGGAGCTGTGTCTTATAAATATCAAATCATCAAGCAGAAACAGTCTTATGCTACGTATTAAATGAACGAATGAATAAAAATATTTCCCATCATCCTCAAAAACAAGCTCTACAACTTAAAATGAATTCCTTTTTGCTCTCTTTCAGATACCCCCACACCCATTCTCCCTGCGATTTTTCGTTAAAACTTTAGAGGGATCTCTGAACTCCTCCACCCTGGACAGTTAATCCAATGCTTATTTCACTGTCACCTCTTTTACTATGGCTCAATTCAGGCCATCCTTCTCACTTCAACTACTTGCAAGAGACCCTCAAAGCCCACTCTACCCACTCTTGGTCTTCACTTTAATCAATCCCGGACCTATTTTCAGATGCATGTTTTTGTTTCATATTATTCTCTTCCCTTAAAATCCGAATGAATCCCCACTGCCTACCAAGTTATGCCTTACTTTTCAAACCTGAAGTTCAGTCCCACATATCTTTTCACCAGCAAATTCTTACAAATGTCAGACACACCATATGTGACCACTTGCATCATCTCTCAATGATGCCTTTATTTATGCTTTTGTTCTCATCTAGAATTCCCCTCTTCCACCCCTACCAGTAAAGCTCCAACATGTCCAGATCCATCACAAAGTCTACTTCTTTGGTAAAAATGTTTTTTATCTGCCGAATCATTCCTCTTTATTCAAAACACTTGATGGCCTTTTAAACTAATGCTGAGGAAAAATGGTTGCAACCATGAAATGGGATTATCTTACCGAAATATCACTCCAAAACTTAGTAACATCATGTTGATTTGCTTGTAGGAATTCTGTAAACCATTTGATGGAACGTTTGCTGCCTTTGTCTTCAGTTTCATCCCGTTCAAAATGCTCATTATGCTTGTTCACAGAATAGTTTGTCAGATGCATATATAACTGTGTCTGTGACAAGTAAGAACCAAAGTTGTTACCACCTACAAGATCTCATAACTCTGGTTTTACAGGAAGGGAGGCATTCAAAAACTAAAGACAACTTTAAAGATTGAGCATTCCAGATCAGTAATCTCATGGTAATTTAAGGAATTTGTGGGTGAAATGGAATGATACATTTCCCTTAAAAGGACTGAGAATGCAATCATTTACAGTTATTTTATATATTAGTCACAATATTTTCTACCACAAAAATGGATCCAATGAATAATATACAATATGATTAATTAAAATGTGAGACTATATGGAGCATTTGCCTAGTCCATGTGAGGCCCTGGGTTCAAACCCCAGTACTCACAGCAACAAAAATATGAAACTACGTCTAAGCAAGAAAAAACACTCCGAGTTTGTTTTTGTTAGTTTGTTTTTAATGTTTTGAGCCCTTATAGTTTCCACACAAATTTGTTTGAGGAAAGGAATTTTCTGAGAAACATTCTATGTCTTCTCAAAGAAAAGTAAAAACTGAGAGCTCAAGTAAGTAGCATAAGCCATTGGACAGGACTAGCAAACACCTCTACCTCCCGTACTGACGGGAAGCCCACTTTTCCTCATTAAAAGACTGACTGTAATTAGAGCCAGAAGACAGAATGCACCTCACAGCAGTGTTCAGGTGTCTGAATAATTAACAGTAAATGTATTAGGCCTCCATATTGAGACTCTGGTCTGTTTACATACTTAATGTTGTTATATTTTCCTTAAATAAACTCAAAAAAGAAACCAAAGTGTAAAACTTCTCTTAACGGCCAATTATCAAGCTAGCAGAAACATTCTTCATCAGGCCTATCTTTAATTTCTACCCTCCTAGCGACCCAACTCCCAAACGTACTTTGCATACAAGTGTTGCATCACAATTAAATAACCAACCATACTTGTGCCATATTTTATCTTCATTTCAGTACTGTTCTTCAAATTTATGTTATTAAAATCTTTGAAACAAATAGGAAGAAATATCATTTGATTACATGTGGTTCATTCATCCGGGTGCCAGTGGCTCATGCCTATAATCCCAGCTACACAGGAGGCAGAGATCAGGAGGATCATGGTTCAAAGCCAGCCTGGGCAAAACTGTTTGTAAGACCCTATCTCAAAAAAAAACACTCACAAAAAAGGACTGGTGGAGTGACTCAAGGTGTAGGACTTGAGTTCAAACCCCAGTACCACAAAAAAAAAAAAAAAAGAATTTGGTTTTTTTTTCATTCCATAAGCAATATGTAAGGGCTGGGCATAGTGGTATATGCCTATAATTTCAATTCCTCAGGAGGTAGAGACAAGGAAGGTCACAATTTGAGGCCAGCCTAGTCAAAAGTTAGTGAGACCCTAGCTCAAAATCAAGCTAGGTGTGGTGGCATACACCAGTGGTCCAAGCTACTCAGTAAGTAGAGGTAGGAGGATTTCAGTTTGAGGTTAGACCAGGCAGTGTGCAAGAAACTTTCTGTAAAACAAACTAACAGCAAAAAGACCAGAGGTGTGGCACACACAAAAAAATAAACATATTTAAGGAGCATCTATGAATTTAAAAAACACATAGCAACCTGCTAGGGGTGAAAAGGAAAACCCTACCTGCTTGTTAGTATATAGGCTCAATATTGTATTGGAATAGTCAAAACTTTTCAAGGATTGACCTCACTTCATGGTATCAAAAAAATGAATGTTTGTTATATTTCAACCTCTGAAATTCTCTGACTTCTAATCTCTTAATATTAAGTTTATGAATATTTAATTCTTATAGAAACACACAGCTCATGACAAAATACATGTTCACTATTTAAAAAACTGGAAATATGGAGAAGAAAAAAAATCATACAGCCGTCTCTCATACAAAAACAACCAGTGAAACCACTTTGGTTTACTTTTTTGTCTTTTTTCATAGCCTTACCTTTTATATAATTGTGGTCTCAGTTTACATAAAATTTTGTACTTCACTTTTTTATTTTTTCATATCTCAACCTAGGAATTCAATTGTGAAATCATAAGGACAGATGAAGAATACTGAAATTTAAGTAAGAAAAAACTCTTTCTACACATATGAAAAGCAACACCAGGAACCTACACAATTCAGGAGCAAATGGCACCATGAGATCTGGTATTCATATTTCCCCATCTCTCATTATGATTTCCTAATCCAGTATATCTTAGAATATAGGAATAAAGCACTTTATTACAAAATAATCCTCCAAACCTTATCATGCACAATATTACCAAAGAAAACTACTGCCTTACATGCAATCCATTCTTTCTCAGTCCAATAATTTAATCATAAGCCATGATCTGACTAGTCCCAAATTACACCTATAGTTTAGATCTCTTTTCTGATCTTAAAACCTATGACGAGCACACAAATGCTTGTAGAGTAACTCCAGGTAGAGGCCACACAAGCACTTAAATTGAGCACATCAACTTTTCACAGCACGGTTAACAGCTCATGTATTCCTTTATCACAAAGAGCAACACCCCCATCTGCCCCATTGCCCAGGCCAAACACCTTGAGTTTATCCTTGATTTCCCTCTCCCTTATACTAACCCCACAAATCCAACTGGTCACTATATTATATCAGTGTTATCTTAGATAGACCTCCAATCCATATTCACATTCTTAGTCCAACCTTACTGCTCCTATTTCAACCTAAGTTATCTCTGCTCTCATCTGTGGTCAGACTAAAATATGGTTTCTGATCTCCTATACTCCAAGTCTTTCCTATCCGTCTCCACCTCCATTTTATATTCCCCATACATGCAGACCAGGTGACCTTTTAAAAACCCAAATCTTACTCCTTTTCTTTGTTTATAACCTTTTAATGTTTCATCTTCACTTAAATTCCAAAATCCTAGAAGTAGCCTATAGTCTTCAAAGATCTGGTTTCTAAGACTCTCCATTCTCCTCTCTAAACAGACACCCCTTTTTCATCTATGCTTTAGCCACAATGAACTTGTCTACTTTCTCCAGACATTCCATACTGTCTTACGTCTAATCTGCCTGGAGTTCCACCCCACCCAGTCCCCAACTCACTCCACCCCAACCTGGACAGCTCCTCATTGCTCAGACTTCAGTTCACAAACTCCCTCCCTGACCTTTCTCTCCAGCTGGGTGAGGATGCACTGCCATAACACATTCGGTTAATTAGACCTTCACACTTACATCAGGTATTATGATTGCCTATTTATGTCTTCTGCCTCTCCAGTAGACTGTTGCTTCTGTAAGCTGAAGCACTGTATCTGTCTTGGTCAATATTTCTCCAAAAGCAGCACAAGGCTTAGAACATACTAGAGTTCAAACATTACTTGGTGATTGATATAAGCATATCTTATGACTTCCAGTGAGATAGTTCTTTCTTTTAATGTCTTTTCCTATAAAAGGCTTGACAGTTCTCTTATTTTTCCTTTGCCAGGCTTACAACATTTTCAGTTTACTGAATAGAATTATAGTCAGTCATTATTTAATTTTGAAAATATAATCACCCTTAATGAAGTTAATTGTGTGTATAGTGTTGGAGAAGAACAATAACCAGGTCTTTGTCAAGCTGTATACATAATTACTAGGTCAAAAAATGCAATAAGAGATTTACTAAATTTTTAAGCATGGATAATAAATTACAATTTGCCTTTCAGAAGTTATAAATTACAGCTTATGATTTGCATGATAAACTACAACAGTTATGGTTTTCATGAATGTGTTATGACTGTACAAAGGAAATCTTAATGAGAAAATATCTATAAAATGCTCTATTTGGTAGGCTTTACAATGCACACTGAAACTGTTCACTTCTGTCTCAATTTCACATTTGGTCAGTGTAAATTTACAACCTTACTTCTCTTTTGTGCTAACAAAGATTAGTAACTATTTTCTCCTCCCCCCACCATACACTTTCTCCCACACTCCACATGTTTACACTCTCCTACACACAACACCTGCTCATATGTCACCCCTCCATGAGAAGCTGAACACAAACTCCCCATGTGCTTGGTCCAACTGAAGTTTACTTATATTTCTCCAAGCCACATTATTTTTATTTCCAGTAGAACTACCTCTGTAGAGAACCTCTATATAGGGATGAGTGCTCTGAAACCCAGACTATGCTCACAGCACCCTCTGAAATCACTCTCAGAAAGGGTGCCTTTCCCTAACAAGTTCACCTAGATCAGACAGCTTTTTCCAATTCTTGCAAAGCTGCCTGCAAGTGAGAAGCAGTCCTTCTAGAAAAAAATAAGTTCTCTCTCATCACTTACCAAGTTGGACTCATTAGGTGGAATGTACTTCTCTGTTCCCATTCGCACAAGTCCATCATGGTAGAGGAATATTTTTAGTGGATCACACGATGTTACCAGAATATAAATTCGTAAATCAAACTTGTAACCTTCCATTAGGAAAGGCTTTTCAATGTATTCTTGAACAATCAAATGATCCTGAGATGGAAGTTTATCGCCATTTCTTATCAAGGAAATCCTAAGTTCATAGGGAAAAAAAGAATAATTGATATAGAGGCAAGATGTTCAAGAAGTTATCTGTATGCTCAAGAGGAAAATGGTGGCAAAAGAAATTCCAAAATTCTGTCCCTCCATGAAAGCAATGAATTGAAAAAAAAAAAATCAGAATCAACTCTTTGAAGTCCCAGAAATTAAACAAAAGCTTGAAATATTCAGAGTACACTGAATCAAGAAAAACAAGCTGAATCTGTATTAAAGAGCTTTGTGGCATTTTAACTCACTCTAGTTCCACCACTTGAGCTCCCTGGAGGGGATTTCTTGTAACTGCCTAACTCAGAACTCTACTAGAACTGAGATGACTTTGAGGGACAAGATTTGAAAACATTTTAAGGCAAATGTATTAATCCCTGCTGGCTAGGGCAACAAATATCATGTGGAACAAACAGCAGATCAACTAAAAAGACTAAGAGAAAATAATGGGGAATGAAAATCAATGGGACTTTGGAAAGCTCCACAATACTCCTTTGAATTTAGAAAGTAAAGTGCATGGCAAAGGCTAGGCACATTCTCAAGACAGACCGAGAAGGCCCAGAGCTCTCTCCTGTAGCCAACCATCAAACTCTGCACAAGCAGAAACTGATGGCAAGAGTGGAACTGTAAATGAAGGTTGAGGGCATGCCTCAACAAACACACACAGCACATGTACAAAGTCCTTTATGGGCTTTTCTTTTATTCCAAGTTCTTAAGAATACCTCTGTCCGATTACTAGTTACAAGAACTGGAATTTCATTGGCCCTACGAAGAATATAGACTTTTCAAAAATTAGTTCAGATATGTCCCTAAAACAAATAACAGCCACCACAACTAGCGGCAATGACAAACCATGAACAGCAAACCATGTAGAGGGGCAGTATTTGATTTACAGCATTGCTACATTATAATATTCAAAGCATCTAGTTTCAACAAAAAAGTTATGGGGAATGCAAAGAGAAAACATGACCCATACACAAAGAAATTATCAGTTAAAAGAAACTGTGAGGCCCAGACATTGAGCTTACTACATAATCAACTATTTAAATCACTATTTAGAATTTGTTCAAAGAGCTCAAGGAAACATGTACAAAGGAAATCATAAAAAACAATGTCTCATTTGGTAGGGAATCCCTATTTTTTAAAGAAACAAGCAAATTGTGGAATTAAAAAGTGAAGTGAAAAGCCATTCAAGGGGCTAAACAGTATATTTGGGAATGCACAAAAAGAATTAACAACCTTGAAAATAGGATAATTGAGATTATCAAATCTGAAGAACTGAAACAAGAAAAGAATAAAGAAAATTGAATACATCCTAAGAAGTCTTGGAACACCATCAAGCATACCAGCATCTACATAATGGGAGTCTCAAAAGAAGAGGGAGAGAGGGAAAAATCAAATAAATATTTAAATAAATAATAGCAGAAAACTTCCCAATTTGATGAAAAACATAAATCTATTGCACATCCAAGAAGCTCAATTAACTTCTAGTAGGATAAACTGCAAAAGATCCACACCATGGCACAGTGTAATCATACATGCAAAGAAAACCAGAACGATGACCACATAGGCAAATATAAAAGTCGCTACTAGTATAGTTTAGTATGTAATTACTCATTTTTTTTCTGATGGCTTAAAAAACAACTGCATAAAGGAGTAATTAGACATCTATGCTGATGAATGAGAATGTACATAGATTATTACAGATTAACATGTTAATTATAATCCCAAAACCACCACTAAAAAACCTCAAAAATATATATTAAAAGAAATGACAAGGAAATGTATGACACACAAGAAGATATCTCATTACATAAAAGAGCAATAATGGAGAAACTAAAGAACTAAAACTATATAAGACATATAAAAAATAGCAAAAGGCAAAACTAATTCTTTTCAATAGCTATATTAAAGGTAAATAGATTAGCTCTCCAATGAAGGGCTGGGTCAGGCAGAATGGATTTTTTAAAAAAACATAGTCGAACTATATGTTATCTACAAGATATTTAAAGACTCACTTTAGAATCAAAGACCCAAACAGGTTGAAAATGAAAAGACATTGTGTGTGAGCAGTAATCTGGAATGGCTATGCCAGCAGCAGACAGAATACTTTAAGACAAAAATTGATACAAGAGACGAGGCATGTCATTATATAATGATAGAAATGTCAACGCATAAAGGATATATAACAATTATAAATATATATGCATTTAACAACAAAGCTCCAAAATATATAAACCAAAACCTGATAGAACTGAAGGGAGAAACAGTTCAACAATAGCTGCAACTTTCGACAGCAGACAGAACAAACTAGACAAGAGATGTAAGGAAACAGATAAATTTGACAGATAAAAGAGGTATCTTTTACCTGCATATCAGACATTACATGTTACATATTGCATTAAGTACAATAAACCCAGTCAATGTAGAATGGACTTTTTAATTATCTGCTTTTCCACTTGATATTAATATTTCATTAAAATAAATTGGAAGATTATTACACATATATGTCTAACAAGTGTAACTATATAAATATTAATATTAAGTTTTAACACTAAAGTTCAGAAAAATATAAAATTCTATTATCCTCCCCCAAAATTTCCTTTTTATACCAATGTACAGGATACTTCTTAACACGCATTTAATGTTCACATTAGGCAACTGACATAAAATTCCATTAACACACTCATTGAGTTTTGAACTACCAACATGCATTTAAAATAATGCTTCAGGAATCTTCATATTATGCTTAAAGAAAATTCTTTGAACAATTTACCTGGTAGCTACCATTTCCAAGTTTCTTTTCCCCATAGAATTTTAAATACAAATATTTAAATAACTCAGGTGTATTTTATGAAAAACAGCCTCGGTCACACTTTGAAAAAATACACTGCAAAAAACTAAATATAAGTAAGCAAAAGGAAGCAAGAATTTCAAGTTACACATTCTGATTTCAAGCTAACATGTCTAATTCTTGGTACCCTAGCTTAAATGTGTTCTACTCATTTTCAATATTACCATGGCTACACAAGAAAAACAGTTATTTAAAAAGCAAAGAACATACATATTTTGCTTCAAGAACTCTAGCTTCGAAATAATTCTCTTTCCAGTTCTTCCTCCAACACAATTTACCTCTACTATAGCAACTGATTTTATTATCCAAACTTATTAAGGTTATTATAAATGTGCATTTTATGTTTATGAAAAAATTAGTAAACAACTTTATTTTCCCTCTATGTTGTTATCTCCTATTAAAGGCTAACAACCCGTTGATTCAATTTTTAAAATGAATTACTTGAACCCTGTGGGAAAGGTTAATAGAATAAGGCTCATTAAGGATTTCATTCCAAAAAACAATAGTTAGAAACTTCTTTTGTTATGTTTTCATAATAGAACTCAATCATAAGTAATTATGCACATTTATTCTTTTTCCTCACATTTCTTAATTTTTATATTTTCTGAGTAAAAAGTAAACCTACCCATGACCCATTGCACCATTAGCTGGTTTTACTATAAAAGTTTTCTGCTTCCGTTTCTTCTTCAGTTCTTTCACATAATTTTGGAATTGAGTATATTCTGCAGGGAAAATCCACGTTTGAGGAACAAAGGTATAATCCAGAGGCCGAGACCTGATCATTCTGTAAATCGAAGACAATATGAAAGATAATTTCTTCTCAAACTTATATAAAAACTTAAATGCCCGCGTTTCTTCATTTATTCGTTCATTTACTGATCTATTCACCAAGTGTCTATTAAACACCTACTAGATACTAGACACCAGTCTAAACACTTGGATCATCAATAACAAAGACACACAGAACCTCTGCCAAGTTACGCACACATTAATACGTTCAAGATTTCTTTGACTACACACTGAGCTAGGCACTGGTGAAGACACATTAAAATGGTCTCTATCTTCAATAATGTGATAAGCAAACTAATGGATATAAGGCGTAAGGCAAGGGAACATGTAGCAGGTATTAACTCTGTCTCGGGGACAGGGTAGAATATTACGCCCCAAAATCAAAGCACGACAACCTTTTAATTTCCTTGATTTTGATTCCAGCACCTTTCAATGTACTCATTATTTTTGACACTGATATGAAATCAAATTAAGTTAAAGTTTTAATTAGAAAAATGTTCTTTAAGTTTAGCCATGTAGTATTTATGAGGTACTATTCTTTCACACAAATATTTGGAAAAAATCCAAGCAAACATATATTGAAGTGAAATACCATATTCCATGTAAATAATCTAGCTCAAAAGAAACATTCAGTCTTAGGAATTTAGGAATCTGGGATCATTTCTGATCTGTCAGGAATTCACTAAATGATATTAAACAAGTAGTTAACTCTATTTTTATATTACTAGGTCATAAATTTTTATCTAATAGAAAACTATTTTCTTCCATAAGGAGAATTCCAAGGACTTTATGGAATGAGAAAATGCCTATTGGCAAGAGCCCACTAACAGGGCAACAGGGCTACCTTCACTCCCTCCCTCTCTCAACCATACTAATATCTGTTTTCTACAAAGCAGCCAGAAAGAGCTTCTCAAAGCGCAAATCTGGTCAAATTACAATATGGCCACTCTCCTTACCCCCACCTGCCTGACGGAATTCAAGATAAAGACCATAATTCTGAACATCATCATCCTTCAGCAACTCTCTTCCCTGTCCCCACCCATCTCCCTTGCCCCAGCCGTAGTTGGCATTATTTCAGTATCTTGATTATTCATGCTTTGTCCTCTGTGTGACCTTGGCTTATGCTATTCTTCCTGCCTGGGTGATTCTTACCTATCATCTGCACCAGAAAACTATTTATCATTCATGTATCAGTTTCCACACCACTTCCATTGGCAAACTCTTCCAAACCTCCCTAACTAGGCCAGAGTTCTTTTTTTTTTTTTATTCATATGTGCATACAAGGCTTGGGTCATTCTCCCCCTTGCCCCCACCCCCTCCCTTACCACCCACTCCGCCCCCTCCCTCTCCCCCCACCCCCTCAATAACCCAGCAGAAACTATTTTGCCCTTATCTCTAATTTTGTTGAAGAGAGAGTATAAGCAATAATAGGAAGGAACAAGGGTTTTCGCTGGTTGAGATAAGGATAGCTATACAGGGCATTGACTCACATTGATTTCCTGTGCATGTGTGTTACCTTCTAGGTTAATTCTTTTTGATCTAATCTTTTCTCTAGTTCCTGGTCCCCTTTTCCTATTGGCCTCTGTTGCTTTTAAGGTATCTGCTTTAGTTTCTCTGCGTTAAGGGCAACAAATGCTAGCTAATTTTTTAGGTGTCTTACCTATCCTCACCCCTCCCTTGTGTGCTCTCGCTTTTATCATGTGCTCAAAGTCCAATCCCCTTGTTGTGTTTGCCCTTGATCTAATGTCCACATATGAGGGAGAACATACGATTTTTGGTCTTTTGGGCCAGGCTAACCTCACTCAGAATGATGTTCTCCAATTCCATCCATTTACCAGCAAATGATAATATTTCGTCTTCTTCATGGCTGCATAAAATTCCATTGTGTATAGATACCACATTTTCTTAATCCATTCATCAGTGGTGGGGCATCTTGGCTGTTTCCATAACTTGGCTATTGTGAATAGTTAGGCCAGAGTTCTTTACTACACCCAATTTTAGAACTACGTACCCCAACTTCATAACACTTATGAAAGCTGCAATTGATTATTATGGGAGCTATAAATCTGCTTTATCAACTTATGTGCACAGAGTCCAGCTCCATACCTGACATATAGTTGGTACTTAATAAATATATGTTAAACAAGTAAAACTCATGCCCCAAACTTTGTAGAGGCAATTCCCTTTCTTGTTAAATCCACTCTCCTCCTTATAATCCCTACAATCCTTCTACCTATGTAACATACCACGATAGAATCCTACATGTCATCCTGAAGTCCTTTCCCCTCCCCCTTTATCTCACATGACAGCAGTCTTTCATGTTATCAATTCTATCTTTAATACCTTTCAGTTGATTCTCTCTTGACCCTTCCCACTATCACTCTGTGGTTTACTACATGTTCATTATCTCTTACCCCGATAATGACAATCATCTCCTCACACAGCTTTCTCCCTCTACTCCCACCGTCATTGAATTCATTATCCATAGTGCCACCATGCTTCTCTAAAACATTATTTTTCTCCTTAAACTCACTCAATAACCTCCTACTTCTCTCAAAATATATGTATATCAGTGCACACATTCACCTAGTACAGTGCCTGACACGTTAGATATTCAATAACCAATATGAAAGCATACACACACAGCATATACCGAAGCGAATTACTTCCTGTAAAAACAAGTAAGTATCCATTGACTGCCACATAGAGATAACTTCTTGCATTTAAAACTAAAACTTCTGCTACTAAATAGACAGCGAGTCACAGTAAAAAATAGTCCCCAGATTTTGGAGACTAGGATTCAGGTGGAGCTCTGCTGATAACTATTTGACTTTGTGAAAGTATTCATTCTTCTGACCCTCAGTTACCTCCTTTGCAAAATGAAAAGGCTAGAACCAGGGAACTGTTAAGACAATTCCAGCTGCAAAAATCTACTTCTTCCATCAAAATAGCATTTCAAATCAAAGTAACCTGATAAAGGATAGTATTACAATATTCATAGAATAAATTTTGAACAGGTCTTCTCTATTACAAGAAAATAATAATTACTTGGTCATATTTCTTGCTAAGAAATCCTTCCTGCAGATCTCCCCCATTCCTGGAAAATGGTTGATTCTCTGGAAAATAAAAAGGTAAATATTAATATTCTCCTTGATGTAGTGAATACATTTGTTTATAATACAGTTAAATCCATCTTTCAAGATTTCTGTTTTTAAAAACTGGCAATTATTAATGCAAAACAATTTAACTTAAATGGCCTATCATTGTAAAATTCTAAAGAAATCAGAAAAAGGTGTTTACGTTGATGGTTCTATGTTGCATAAGTGGTAATTCAATATCCCAATTGCTTTAGGAATACCAGATTTAGTATAGTCACAAAATGCCCATTATAGAAAAAAATGGTGCAAATGAACTTATATTTGCTCCCTCTCCTCAAGTGTGAGTGTATTATACTCTAAACTGATAAAAGAAGGAGGACTACACAAAAATGTCCATTGTATAAAATTCCTTGTATTTGGCTTTTTAATTTGATGCCTATTTTCTTATGAATGTAAGTCTGTATTACATCATAAAAATAAAAGTCAGGTTACTGACCCTAAAAAAGTATTTTCGCATCCTGATCTCACTGTGTCACCTATTCCATGTCACTAGGGCAGTGCAAAGCACCATCTTAAAAAGGAAGCTTTCAATTCTTCTTTTTCTTTTTGCAGTACTGGGGTTTGAACTCAGGGCCTTCACCATGAGCTGCTCCACCAGCTCTATTTTTGTGATGGGTTTTTTTGAGATGGGGGTCTCACAAACCATTTGCCCAGGCTGGCTTTGAACCATGATCCTCCTGATCTCTGCCTCCTGAGTAGCTAGGATTACAGGTGTGAACTATGCTTCAATTCTTCTTTAAGCAAAGAAAGAGTTTGAAAATTATATTTGAAAAGGATGCTGGCTGAGTCAACACAACAGCATAGCAGCAAAGCAAGCTATTCAGGTAACTTAGAACCAAAATCTAATCTGTCACAGTTTAAGAACCTAAATAAAGAAACTGAGGATGGAATTCATGGAGTTTTGCTCATAGCAATAACTGGCCAAGATGAATCTCCCACCTGGTAATTTTGCAGCTCTGCAATCTTTTCCTGCTGAACAGCAGAATCACACCATATAAGGTTACTTGTTTCATCTTCATCTGGAGTTTTCATAAATCCCATCTCATCTATTACTAAACGCACTGCAAGTAAATAAGTTAAATTACAATAATTTTTATATATATTAATTGTGTAAATATCTGTGTATATTATATATATATATATATTAGTTCAGAGTATTTCATTTGCAAAATGCCCATTAATTCTAGCATAACATTTTTAGTTACAACAGTTTTATCTAGGACTAAATTATTCTCAGTATTAACTGAGAACCATATTAGGTTGCACCAAAAATCCTTGGGTTCAGTCTTCTCAGATTTATCAGGTACACACAACCACCAAAGAGTTCAGTGATTAATTTTGACACAATGAAAACATGCAGGAAATTATGACAACACCTCTACTCAGGAAAATGTACTTGTGTGAACTTTTTCATGACCTGGAGCTAGGCACAAAATGGCAAAGGTAAAAATAACCCATGATCATCGGGCCTATCTTATACTTTCACTTCCCAGTTCAACTGAGTTAACACAACAGGATAGCAGTTCGAATTACTCTTGGCACTTAAAATCAAGGAACCTCTGTTTGCTCATGAAATGATGAAGCAGAATTCACAGAAATGATATAGATATTGGCCCCATTCTGCTGCCAAACCTGTGATCCTAATTGGAAAAAGTTCATATTCAGAGAAAAGCTTCCTACTGAGCACAAATTGTGTTTTCCTCTCTGATCATTTCTTGCAATGAATTTCAAGTTTAAAGTAAAGATGAACAAAATAGTTGGGATAATTCTTGAGTTCCAGTGGAATTTTGAGTCTTAACACAATGGTGTATAGCAGTGCTTCAATGTTTTGCTTTTAAATGGTTTTGTTTTTTTTACTATAGACCTGAGAGGAAGTAATATCAACTGTCTAAACAACTTAGCTTAAGTACAAAACTGATACCCAGACACAAGCTTGTCTCAAATCCTAGGGGCTCTTGATTGCTTTCTGGCTGAGGAGAAAGGAAGGACTTTATATGCAACAGAACTGGGAATACAGGTACTACAGTGGCAGAAATAAAGGCATAACAGAGGCACGAATGGGGTGGGTGAGGTCAGGGAGAGGACTGTTGAGTTGAAGTTGCTGTTTTCCAGGAGAGGCAGGGTGAAACTTGGGGTTGTACTGGAGATCCAAGTCGTCATTTTTTCCGTTCCTTTCCTCTATTACAGAGCACCAGGTGGTTTTGACCTTCTGGGGGTTTAGCAGCTGCTATGCAATACAACCTAGGACACTCCTTTAACTGACCAATAGGCAGAAAACAATGACAAAGTCAAAATGGCAGCTCCAAAGCAGACCTGTCCCTAAGCAACTGAAAGACATTGTCCAGGGCCTCTCAGAACTAACTGAGAAGACCCTGATGGGTTAGCAGTTACTGAGGGTGACAGTACAATGAGACACTTAAATCTGGGTATCCATGTGTGCACAGGCCAGTGATGCTGGAGCATTCAGGTCACATAGGAACAGTAGAGAAGATCTACTCTTCCTTCTTTATTTACAAAGTCAGATTTATAAGATCAGACATATATAAATCTCTTTTTTTATGAACTTCAGAGTTCAGAGAACTAGTAAAGTTGAACTATCCAAAAAAATACAGTGCCAGGTATTAAACTTCTACCTTTTTTCCCCAGCTATTTAACTGCATTTTTGACTGAAATTAACTTTTAGAAATCAATTAGCATCTTTTTAAAGTCTCTCATCCTCCACAGCACAGGAAAAGAATCCCTTTAACATGTCAGAAATTTTAGAGTCATTTTAAAATCCATTATATAAAATTCTCTGAAATTCTTCATTGTTTTCAACACCAAACCAGTTTTGCCAGTAACTATGAAAAATCTCATGATTCTACAGAGACCTACCAATTTCAAACTTTGTCCCAGAAACATTTGCTGTAATGATTCCCTTTTTTTTCTTCTTTCTGACTTTCCTTTTCATAGTGCTTTGATAAGGTAATTCTGTGTCCAGATCCAGGGGAGAGGTTCCTTGAATAACTTTAAGAGAAATGTAAAATAACCAAATATTACTGAAGTAACAATAAAATTCACACCAGAAGCACAGATGCCCCTACAAAACAAGGTAAAATGATCAATTTGGTACTTCAAAAGCTCATAAATAATTTTGACTACTTTTACAAAAATGAATCATAATGCTCTGTAACACATTCACATTTTGTTTTATGGTTAAATATGTCTACTTACCTCCTTCTTGAGGCAGAGATGGCATTTTATCACTTGTGTCAACTAGCGAGCAGTATATGCCACAGTGCCAGGTTGTCAGGAAATCTGGAAGTGTCGCATTAGTCTAAGTAGGATATGACCCCAAATCACTGAAAGTTCCTATCATATTATCTGGGTGGAATCCTCAGATTTCAAGACACCTAAATTATGGGCTAAGGAAATACCTGTAGGGATTTTAAAATAAAGGCACTTAGAAAACATGAAAATTTTCTGATATATACCATCATTATTTTTCAAAGTCACAATGTGTCAGTCAACCAGTGTGTTAATTAATTTTTCAAGCCTTATGCCAAATAAAGACTTTCTGCTCTGAAAGCACACGGTCTAGTGGAGGACCTTCTAGTTAATCATGCATTGCTTCTACACAACAAACAACATACACAAACAACAACGCCAATGACAAAATTCACTGCCACTTATTAATCACCTGCTATCTTAAGATTCATATTATGCTATTTGCCCTTTTGGTAAGCCAGTGCAATAGAAGCTTTTTTATGACTGTTTTACAGATAAGTAATTAGAGCTCAGAAAGGATGGATAATTTTGTCTTTCTTTACAAAGGAAAAAATGACAAAGTGGAGATCAAAATGAAGATCCCTCTGATATCAAAACTAGAGTCCCTTAACTAGACACCTGTACAACCTTCAACCTAAACCTAAACTATAACTATAGCAATGCTTCTAACAGGAGACTGCAATAACTGCCAGGGTACAGAAGGAGGAAGGATTTCATAAAGCAGACTACATTTGAATTGTGCCTTAAAAAATGAGGGCAACTTTGAAGGACACAAAATAGGAAGGGTCATTATCATACTGAACTTATTTGGGCACACAGAGAAACACAGTAAGACTGTTTAAGGAATGAACTACTTTGCTTTAGCTACATTTCAATGTGGTCTGCAGTCTACCATGCATGCATGTGTCTGCATTCTATATAAACCTAGGCATTTACGCCCTAACTATAATATATTAACAACTCTTTAACATCAACTTTCTTCTTTCTATTTCTTTATGTGAGAATCTTTGAGATCTTATAAAATGTCTCTAAGCACAATGAAAAAATTATGATAAGCAAGGATATGATATCAATACCTTTACTAGGAGATTATCAGGTTTATCAGAAATTCAGTTATATCCAGAAATTCAGCTTCATAAAATGTAAGTCATGTAGATCATACCCAATACTTGTTATTAATAAGATTAATTATTTAAAAAGTTAGAGCTTTACACATTCTCTAGTATTATTTTTTAAATTATTATATTTAAAATATATTTTTAGTCTACTAAAAATAATATATGTATTTTATCTATGTTATATAGATATAATATATATATTTATATAAATAATCTATAAATTCAATATCAAAACTAGGGAAGTATTATTCATTATAGACCAGCAGTGAGCAGGCAGTATCTTAAGCATATAAAATAGTTTACCTCATTAACAAATCTTGGACTTCAGTTCATTTCTCCCTGTTTTCCACGTAAAGAAACTAAAGCTAGGTAAGTTTAGTAAACTAGGGTAACAAGGGTAACACAGCTTAGAAATTAAAAACCTAGACCTGGGATACAACTTTTCTGTCTGATTAAGTATTCCATGCATTTAGCTTCATTATTTTCGATACCATACTAATAAGCTATATAGACACACAAGAATTCTGTAACCCTATTACAACACATATGGCAAAATATGGCTGTTTTCTGGGAATTCACAACACTTGGAACCAAAGAGTGAAATCACATAAACATCTCTAAACTGATCTCTCAGCTCCCAATTCCAAGTGAAAAATGGACTAGATCACTTCTCAGAACAAAGGAAAGTAGTAGCCTAAAGTTCAGTTCAATTCCTTTCTGGAGGCTCTTTGATACTTCAGGGAGATAACTATTTGAGTTTAGGAATTCTTGTCCAACATCTTGTTATTGGAGTAAACAAAGGTCCCCTTGACAGTGTCAGAGTACTTATTACATTAAAAGTAGGTGACAAAGTCAACATGAGTTTGAAAACAATGTTTGTGCATCTTTTCGAGGCTCCAAAAATAGATCTGTTATTTTCTAACTTAAATAATCAGACAAACAACTTAGATTTATACAGCATTCAAATAAGAATACTTATACCTTCCGCCACCCACAAAGGAATCTGAAGTTTTTAAAATTATCCTGCCATATATGGACTTTACTTATTAATTCCATTTATGATTTGGTGAAAGTGCTTAACAAACTTGAGGATTTCATTGAATCATCCCAATTCTAATCATTTCATTTTATTCTAGGCAAGAAATTTAAGATGACATATTTAATTAGCACACCACTCAGGTGAGCTGTAGTTACCTATTTTCCCAAAGCAGAGAGCATGTTTTAGTTGCCTCCAAAATGCTTTAGACAAGAGTTTCTCAACTTTGGCTGCAAAGCAGAATCACCCTAGGAGCTTTTTGAAAATCTACACTGGACTTCAGAACTCTGCAGGGTTTGGCCATCAGCACTGTCAAACTCTTCAAGTAATTCCAGAGTGCAACCAAAGTTGAAACCTCGCCTGGACACAAAATCACACTGAAGGACAGAATAATTACAGCATACAGGTATAAAATTATAAGAACAAAGAAAAAGCTTATTATAAAACCAGAAAAATCACTAAAACTTATTTATAAAAGTCCTCATGACTACTTCAACAAAATAAATCAAGAAAAAAAGAAATAAAGGTCAACAGAAAGTGATTTCTAAGAGAAAGATATTTGGAATCCACTTTTTAAATGAATCAATTTTCCATAATTTCAAGCAAATGGTAACATTGAATATAGAAATTTCTAATACCAATAGGCTGAAACACAACCAAACTAATTCCAATACATTTGTTTTTCCCAGATATTCTTGTTGAATTTGTAGCAATCACCTCAAATTTAGATAAATGTCCACTTTTTCCTTCAATCTTCCTCTGATCATGTCTGAAGAAATTCATTTCTCCCTTTTCTGGTGTATCATAGAGACTTTTCTTTGGTCCTTATCTTAGTTGCCAGCCAAGAAGGTAAGCTCTGTGTTGTCCATCTTATTCACTCCTTATTCTCAGAGCTAGAATAGTGCCTAACACAGTGGTCAGTATGCACTTGTTAATGAGAGCTATGACTTGAACATTGTGTCCTTCAAAATTCATAATGAAACTTAACACCCAATGTAGCAGTAATTAAGGGATGAGCCTGTTAGGAGTGATTAGGTCTTGAGGGTTCCTATCTCTTGAATGGGATTAGGGTCCTGATGCAAAAAAAAAAAAAAAGGCTTCGGACAGCATTTTGCCCTTTTTATATGTCTTTTAGCCATGTGAAGACAAAGTATTTGTCCCCTCCAGGGGACACAGCAATAAAGTGTCACCTTGGAAAAAAAGACTGCAGCCCTCTGCCTTGATATTGGACTTCTTAGCTTCCAGAATTGTGAGAAATAAGTTCCTATTATCTGCAAGTTACCCAATATGTGGTATTTTGTTACAGACTAGGATACCAAGTTTAAAAACTGACGTATAGCCGGGCACTGGTGGCTCATGCCTGTAATTCTAGCTGCTCAGGAGGCAGAGATCAGGAAGATTGTAGTTCGAAGCCAGCCCAGGCAAATAGTTTGTGAGACTCTATATCGAAAAAACCATCACAAAAAACTGGGCTGGTGGAGTGGCTCAAGATGATGGCCCTGAGTTCTAATCCCAGTACCACAAAAAAAATTGACATGAGTAAGGAGAGATCATTAGCAGAGTTCTGCCTTCACAATACATTACTTTCTCATTTTAAAGTATTATTTTCACATTTAAGGTAAAAATAGCAAAGTATATAAAAGTTTATACATCATACTGCCACTTGGGCAAACCAATGGAAGAACTTTTGTAGTACAAGCAGCAGCAACTGGCTGTGGGTGGGGACAGGGCTGAGGAAGACTTCCTTATACAAATGCCTTTCACCCTGAATATGTTTTGTGTATTCAAATCAAAATATCTAAGTCTGTGTCAACGCTGTCACCATGATAATGTCATCAAGTTTTTATCTGCTTCTTGCAAATAATTTTGGGCATTTAGCTCACCTCCACCCCATCTCCACTCTTGCCTCCTGTTGGATGATTTTTCAGCTCTCCATCAAAAGCAATCTTAATTTGTCAGAACAGGTTATAATTTGAAGCAATAATAAATCACCCCCAAATCTGCATATCATAGCCATGCAGTAACCCAGGCTAATAGAGCACCCATCATCTTCGTGACACCTAGCCATTATGCCATGGGGAAAATGTCTTGAAGGATCTCATGCAAGAGACCAGTGATAAACAAAATTTCTGTTCACAATTCAGAGGCCTGAAGAACTAAGTGCAATCCTCCCAAACGACAGCAGCAGAAAAAGCCAGTAGGTATCAAACAACCATTAGAGACTAACCTTGATCACTCCTGATTTGAACTTAGCTACCCACCTTGACACACTATTTTCAATTCTCCATAGCCCACTGTGTAGCATCTCCCCTGCCTGGAAAAAAAATGCCTGAGAGTCTGTACTGTGTAGTATGGACCGAATTGTGCACACCCTACCCCCAAATTCATGAATTGAAGCCCTAATCCTCAGTGTGATGCTATTTGGGAGATTAATAGGTTTAGAGAAATTAGTTTTTGGAAGATTCATACGTTTAGATGAGAGGGCACGAGGAAGGGGCCTCATGATATGACTGGTACCCTTATAAGAAGAGGAAAAGACATCAGACTTCTTTTTCTCTCCGCCATGTGAGGACACGGTGAGAAAGTGGACATCTGCATGCCAGGCAGGGAGTACTCATCACCAGGAACCTAATTGTCACGCACCTTTGTCTTGCACTTCTCAGCCTCCAATTCACCCAAGTCTATGGTATTTTGTTACAGCAGACCAAACAGACTAAGCTAAAATACTGAGTCCAGTCTATCACATGGCTTTACGCAGTGAAAACTCACATCTCTCCATCCTGAGCTTACTGTGGATGCTCAGGATGTGAGATGATGAGGAAAGGGAAGAAAACAACACAGCAGAGGAAGTGGAGGATGGGGCTGTAGTCATTTATGGATATCCTATGTACCGGGCACTTCTCTAAGTTTTACATATAAAATGATTTTCAAAACTCTAAGTGATATTTTATTTTTTTTTCTCTATAGCAATTATCTAAAGAAAAGAGGAATAACG